ATGCTAAACGACCGCCTGCAGATTGGGCTCGTATTCAAAAGGAATGTCCCAATATTGTTCGCAAGGTACATCAATGTGATACCAATGCTAATCACCTGATGTACGACAGTGTTATTTACTAATTTTTCTTGCAAGATGATACAAGATTTACGCCTTGAAATTAATTTGACTATTTTGGAGTTACGTTTATTCCCCGTATTGAAATGTGCTGATGCTAAAATAACTGTTATATTTTTACTTATTTCACTTTTGGAATATTCGTCCTTAGATATTAAATCTCACTACATTATTAGAATCAGTAATAGCATAGAAGAACAGATATTTTCCATTAGTGGAAGGCAGTTTTCACGAAAGTATCATAATTCCTAAAAATTTCTAACTTTGATCAGTTAGAATTAATTCCTAAGCTCATTTTTTCTTAGCTTATATTCTTTTCTATTGGAAATATTAAATTACAAGGCTGATATTTTAATTCATATACAATATATATATTTAAACCAAAAGTTTGGAACAAGCATGATTTTTGTGATATTTAATAGCTTCAACCAAAAAAATTGTTTTGACAGTATTATGTAGATGTGATTATATGTAAAACTTGTTATATGTTACTTATAATGGTTTTTTTTATATTGAAAGCAATATAATTTGCCCTTGAGTTATAATAATATATTGATGTTTATTACTGAATATTATTGCAGTAGTATATGTTTATTTCATTAAATAAATTAAACTCATAATATATGCTATCGTTAAATAATTACATAAAGTTCTTTTTTTAATCATATTCTTCTATTTTATTACTAAAATATTTATTTTTTTAATGAATTAGAGTTTTGATTACTAATATAAATCAAAAACGAAAATATGTCGTGTTATATGTTTGTTAAACATTGTATGTAAATTTTATATTCTCTCAAGTTTCCCATATACGTCATTATTTAAATATTATGATTTGTTTAACAGTTGCATAATATGCTATGCATATTAAATTTAAGTGATTAATATTAAATGAATTTAAGAAAACGTTATTGCAATTTTTATTATTTTAATGATATTATGTGAAAAAATGATTAAATTTTACATTATATAAAAAGACTTATATACTGAATGTTATTGTATAACACTTATGGAATTTTTAAGATAATAAATTTTTACTTTATATTTTTTAAAATCATGTAATACGTACATTATAACAAATGTGATAAATTCTTGTTCAACTTCAAAATTATATTAGAAAACGTTTGTGTAACTACTCTAAAATGGCATGCATCTACATAAACCATTTAACACTTGCTTTACAATTTCAAAGCATGCTGCTTATAACATCATATCCAGGTAATGTAGAAATTACAATAGTTACTTACAATATAGTTTGTTTTTATTATGCAACTAAACTTTATTTTTATTTAACAGGAACCGATTCGCTGGTTCGAACCGGAGACATATAAAGCTAAGGTGGCAGCTGCTGGTCTTGTTACAGTATTGACGATCGGAGAAGGAGAAACTGATCCAGAATGAAAGGGATTGCAAAATTGTATAATCACCATGAAATTGTATGTATTAATATACATCGATGTTTATCTCGATGTATTGTGATAAATTTTTAAAAGTAAACTGGTATAATGTTCTGACATGAAGGAATAGGTATTATATGAGTAACATAATATGTATTGCCGAACTTAATTGTAGCAATACAAAATGACTAGTATGAATATCGAGATATCCGCTAATATTTAAAAATTTTATGCGTGTTTAAATCTAAATTGTTTTCAAAATAATTTAATATTGTAATATTTTAATAAGCATTTATGCTTTCTTATATTACATTTATATGCAGCAAATTTGTGGAATTCATTTAAAAAAAATGTTGTCTATTTCTAATTAATCGAACGTGTCTTGCAACGATATTTTTAGTTTATTTTACAATCCATGTACTGTTTTATATTTCGTAGTAGATCGAAGAAATTTCAATATCTTTATTATCATTACTACTACTGCTGCTATTGCTCCTATTATTATTACTATCACTACTACCACTACTACTATTAGTATTGGAATATTTCATATAAACACTTATGAAAGACAATAAACGATTTTTATATTTTTAGTATGACATATAGATCAAATTACAGTACTCATAAAACATAACTTATGCAATTCATAATTATTGAATATTGTCAAGTTAAAAAATAGCATTTCCATTAATAGTTTTGAATTTAAATTAACAAAGGAAAATTGTTAATTGAAAAAAAGAGAATAATATTACTAACAAATGATTGTTGATTGGAACTGTAAATAAAATTAAATTTAATATTGTAGAATGCAATTTATGTAAGCATTCAAAAAATGCTTCAATTTTTGATGCATAATATATATTTTGTTACATATAACAACTGTAACAAAATAGTGATTTAACATAGTCTAGTCTACCTTTTTAAAGTAGGAACTACTATTTTGGTAATTACTCTGCTGTGACATAATAGCCAAAAAAAAAGAAAAAAAAAATGATTTCATTTAATCTTAAATCAAGATTTTATATTTTATATACTAAAACCATGATACTGTGTAATATATATTATCAATTATATGGAGAGATAAAAACAAGTTTTTTGCTTCTATATCGATTTCCGTATAATTAATAATAAGGATTAATATTCAATGCTGCATAACAAATTTTGTATTATAATTAATTCAAGTTTATTTTTTATTAGGTATAAAATTGTATTTCAATAAGTTATTTTTTTTTTTTGTTATGGTATTACTTCTCTCCTTTCAGTTAAAGATTATATTATGTATTGTAAATGTTTCATTAGCCAGAATATAAATTACAAATATATTGTTAAGTTTCTTTGATTATTTTTGAAATTACGCATTACGTATCTTTTGACATATGAATTATTTGAACATGTAAAATATGTAATTTCTGTATTTTATTTTCTGGCTTGAAATATTAGGAGAATATTTAATATTTATTTGATCTGGGACTAAATTATGTTGCACGCACACGAAACGTTATGTTTGTATGTTTTTACATCTTTTAATATTTATTACAAATTTACACAATTATTTGATTTAAATTATTAATAATTTATTACTATAAACACTAACTGCAGTAATATAATAGTATATTATTGTACCTTGCTCTTTAATAATAAACCAATAAAAGTAAAGTATCGTCGGGTTATACTTTTTTTTTACTTTAAAACAAAGCACACCTATAACTGGATGCGATGTATTTTGAATCATTGGATTCTATTAATAGTAAGTATGTGAACATTTAGTTATTATGTAAATAAATCAATTTATCTTTTTGCACTATAAGTTTTATTATTCCAGTATCGTATAGAAATGATAATGTCCGAAATATACATACACCTTAATTTGTGTACACTTCATTGTACTAGATATCGATTGTATTTTTACTTCTCACTTGTAAAAGTTAAAAATGTTATATCTGATGTTATGTGCATAAAACATTTGATATTAGAGGCCTATGTACTGATTGTATTTCATTATGTCATGTTAATTAGTTACTAATTTCTATATCGTAAATGACTTTAATAAAGTAAATTAAGAGTAATGTGACATATACGCACATATATATCTTAAATTCAGTCTACTTGATCATCGTATAAGTTAATGTAGTCTGATATACTGTACTAGTTTTATCTTCAGAAATGTTTATAATCATGAATATTTGGAAAAAGACAATAATATAAAAAGATAAATATTATAAGAGTTTACTACTTTAGACAGTAAAATGTTTGAAATAAATGAAACATTCATTTTAAATTATTAATGAGATTAGAATATGACCAAACTTACTTATATATCAAAAACTAGTTTGTAGCATAACAGACGATTAAATTATGCGACTCTTCATACAATAATTGGCAGTTTTATGAGAATAGTGGCCTTTAATAACTTTACATTTCTTAAAACACATTAGTATACATTCTATAGTTTTAAATAAAATGAACTAACTTGTGATTGTTATTAACGTAATGTTTTAATACAAAAGTTATAAAGAACCACCATTCTAATTACATATTTGTATAATTTTATAATTGCAGCTTCCTTAAATATATATATTTATATATGAGTGTAAAAAATTGTATGTGTTCATATGCATACAACACAATGATATGGGAATATTATGTCAGTGACGAGTAATTAATATTCAATTTAGCAAGATGAATGAATATTTTTATGATGGAAATAACATATTTATTATAAAGTCTACAATCTAACTAATGTGAATATATCCTAAGCTACTGAAAAAATTACTCGTCTCTGATTCATATTCCAAGATAAATAAGCGAATAATCTATTCTAAACATGATTTACTTATAACAGATTAAAATAAGGTGTTTCACACACACATACTCTCAAATATTAATGTATAATTTGAGTCCCATGAGTCACATAAACAAAGACATTCTTCAAATTTAGAATATCTTGTACAAATGATTTACAGGTATATATTAGGAAAGGATTTTGAAAAATATTGCAATAAATTTGAGTATCTTGCTATTAAACAGTAAACAAAATTCAACTATGGCTATAAATATGATAACTAATTTGTAACATATTGAAGTATTTTTTTTTTTTACAATATTCTATATCATGGTGATCACAAGGTTTTTATGTGTACGAATATTAAAAAAATGTTAAAGATACACTGTGTTCACATTTATTATAGACTAAACATTTCTTTTATAAAGCATAAATCGCTAAAAGCAATGATCTATTTTTTAAATACATTAATATGTTATAATTATCTTTCGAGACGCTATATTTCAATCAAATTGGCTAACCACAATTTCGATTTGATAAATTTTATACTAAAAAATTTATGTAGAGCGCGCGACTCTAACTTTAATTAACATTCCATTAATGACATTATACACTTATGAGAAAAGACAAATTAAAGGAATATAAAAATTAGCTGCTCATTCGGCAGTCACATTTTTTTTAGATCTAATACACATACCTCTTTCTTACTTGGCTGGCAAAGTTTTCATAGTCCTATGTACAATGCAGCAACCAATGTTTATTGTGCACTTCTAAATTTAGAGACTGTAAAATTCTTGTTTTACTGAAGTAACTTTGAGCTATATTCTCTAAATTTAGATCACTTGCACAAATTTTGCTTTTTTAATTCACAAATATTACAAATTTCTACCTAACACGAATTTAAATTTTCGTCAAACTATTCAATTTTAGTTTCTAATATTTATAAGATCAATTAAACGTCTATATGCAAATGCGACCGCTAAAATTTTTACGCGATGATTGCTAAGCGATCAATTCTAGATTACAAGTATGTGTTTATTACATACTGAATATAAAGTCTTTACCGAAATTTAACGTAGTGTTCTATACAAAATATGTCTTCGCATTTTCACATTTATTTTTTGTAAAGATAGAAAATTATACCATTACTTTTTCCTTCAATAATTTTAACGAAAATTTCACTAAATACAATCAGTGGGAGTTATTTTTCGTAATAATCAATCTTCTATGGGGTTAAAATACATAATCTGGTCCTGCCATGTCTATTGCCCATCTGAACTTATCCCTCTGAGTCTTATTATAAATCTTCTCAATAGGGACATTATGTTTCTTACACCTAAATAATATAAAAATAAAAAGTAATATTGTGCTTATGATTATAATATTTAATATAAAATAAAAAAAGAATCAAAGTTACCATGCAACTGTAATTCTAGGATCCAAATAATTCAACTTGGAGGTGCCTAGAGCAATTTCTTTATTTTCCTCTTTGTCTGTTGCTTGAACCTCCAATTTTGTCAGTTGCTCTTTTAATCTATCAAGAGCCTTCTTCTTCTTTTCATATACGCTATAATAATAAATACACAATAAATTACTTAATACTATTTAAACTTAATACTACTTAATTTTTAATAATTAACCAATACGTACACTTTTTCCTTAACAGATCCATGCTTTGCATCACGTTTGGCTTCCTTTACAGCATGTTCTGCTTCACTTATAGCTTGCTTCTTAGCTTCTATTTTTGCCTTAAGGTTTTCCATAGATTTTGCATGGGTTTTAGGCACTGAACGTTGATGATTACACAATATTGCAACAGCTCGATTTGCTCTATTATATGATAAAATCTTTTCTGCTTCTGTATCATCAGGATTTGTCAATTTATCTAATTGCTGCTGCAATGTCCATGAAGCATTATATGTCCTAAAGACCTTAGCAGTGAGACCTTCCATCAATTCATTTAAATGTTTATTCATAACGGTTGTATTAAGACGATCAAATAAATCATCACTTGGTGATTTATTTTCCATAAAAAGCTGTAAATTTTTAAATACCCTTTTTTCTACTGGCACTTCATTGTAATACCTTATAGAATCTTTACCTATAAATACAATAAAAACATATATACAAATATTATACTAAAATATGTCATCTTTATCTAATTTATGAGCAAAAAATTCAGCATACCTAAGAAGTCAAATACAACTACATACTCCTTTCCATCCTTTTGCTCATGTAATGTAATGTGTTCTACTCGTAAAGAACAACAACCTACAGTATCTGCTTGATCTTCATCTTTCTCGTTACCAGCTCTGAGAGCTAATTTGTCTATAAAATATAATGCAACAGCTCTTTGTCTTATACGCATCTCCTTACTTTTCCAATCTTCCCTATATTCAGCACGAATTTTATCTATTAATTGTGCTAATTTTCTAGCAGTCTCATATTTCTGCCAATCTTTTTCTCCTTTAAGTTTGCTTGATGGATTGAGCATAACGTATTTCACTTGTCCTTGAATATTCTCTGTCCAAGATGCAAGCCAGGTAACGTTAGGATCGTGCCGAACTTCCTTCCATTTATGGCCTGGTGGTGGCTTTGGTATATTAGAATCTTTGGAACAATTAATAAGAATATCTTCTGGCATAACTCTTCTTTTCAATTTGCCCATTTTAGGGTGTTCACCACGACCTCTGAATAAACCAGGCGGCTCAATCTTGAAATTACCTATTTTTTCTTTATGTCCATCAATAATGCAAAAACCATATTCTTTTTGTATTTGTTCATTTGTTTCTTTTATTTTCTGCTTTTCTTCTTTTGTCATTGCTTTCCGCTCTTCGCTTTTTTGAACAAAATACGAATGCATTTCCTTAAAATTGCACTTACTCAAGTCATTTATTTTAGCCCTCTCTGATTCAGTCATCACTTCTCTCCAATCATGGAAGAAGTTATTATTAAATGCAGACTTCGTAGTATAATCGTGATCTAACATGCGTGCATAGAAAGTTGCAACTTCTTCTGCATCTTGACTTAATTTCATTTCTTTTCCACAGTAATAAAATTTTACATCAGGGGGAAGTGGCTCATATGGGGGTGCAAATACTGGTCCTTTATGTTCCAAGAATGTCCATTTTGTCCCATCATTTTTCTTCTCTTCTTCCCACCTATAACAATTTTTTCATTTAGTTTTGTTTCAATGTGCTTCAAAAATTTAACCTTAAAATAAATAAATACTTATGCATTTTCAATTTTGTACAACATTTGCATCTATAAAAACAATTTATCAAAGACGTTATTCTGATATTTGTTATTATTCTGATAACTTTAAACATACTTTGCTTTAAAAAATATGTATATAAGTTTTACTATATTATGCTTCATCTGAAAAATTCACGCATACACACAAAATAAGGTTAGGACGACATAACCTTATTTATTTATACGCTGTAATTCCTCAAATCATAAGAAACCTTACCATTTCCAAACTTCTTGTTCTTCTTCTTGCTTCTTTTTTCTTGGGCTAGAATTTTCTCCCTTTGATGCTCTTCCACCTTTCTTCTTTGGTTTCTATAAATTTTATTTTATAGTTAATCGAATGTGAGATATATCAGATATACATGATGTGACCCACAGCGACATGTACAACAAAATGGTACAAAAAATATATACTCCATATGATTGATACATGCTTAAGGAATTTATATTGTCTATACAAATTGAAAACCAACAAAACAATATCAATTGCAAAATTTCAACTGCAATTAATAGATCAAATTTTAAAAAAATATCAGAAAAGAACCTGTCATCCTATTACACCCGGAAAAAATCACCCATCAAGACTCAATGGAAGACATTTTCCTTCACTTTATGAAGCTACAGGAAAACATAGATCACAAAGATGTGTTGTGTGTGTGAAAAACTCTAAGAGACAAGAATCTCGTTATCAATACGAAAAATATGATGTTGGGTTGTGTGTGTTTCCATGTTTCAAAATATATATTGAATTAAATTATTAATTACTGTATATTATTCTTTCACTATTTTCAACTGCTAATCAGATTCTTTATACCTATTAAATAAGTTTATATCTTTTATGTAAAAATTATGAGTATATTGTTTTAAAGAAAAGTCCCTTTTCTTCCAAAATAAACTGTCCATCCACAATGTGTACACTTTCGGCGTGAGTCCAGTTCAGTGGCGGCGCTACAGCGAACCGAACCGCCATAGCGAAATTGTTAAGTAAGATTATAACATCATTAATACATATAAAGAATATATGTAAAGAATCACAGTACTTGTTCAATTTCGTCTTCATCTTCATCATCTTCATGTTTTCGCTTTTTCTTCTTTGCTTTTGTATCATTCTTCTTCGACTTTTTACGTGCTGAAAGTGGGACATCATCTTCTTCCTCTGAATCTAAACTTCTTTTAACACTTGTAGGAGCCATGGACCTTGCACTCTGTATAATTTTTATATTATAATATACATATCTAATTTTTAAATAATAAAAATTTAATATAAATTTGACTTACCAATGGCATGTCTTCATCCGATTCTTCCTCAGTTTTAATTGTTGTATTATGAAGATCTGAAAGTCTTGTGTCGTTTCCATCAGTTGAATCCATACTACCTTCTTCTTCATTCATAGCTTCTTCGTCATCATCATCTTCTTTAATATATAACGGTTGTTCTCCACCGCTGTCATCATCATCTTCAGGTTCAATTTGTGATATAGGTTCCTGTAATTTATTATTTTAAATTTATTTAATTATTCGAATTCATTTGTTTCAAGTATAAGAATAAATATATTAGAAAAAGTATATATGTACTTCTTTCACTTCATGCTTCAAGGTTTGACCAACATCAAACTGAAATACTTCATTTCCTATGTGATTAGGTTTTACATCCATTACTTCTTCTTTTACTTTAATTTCTTCCTTCTCCTTCTCTTTCTTATCTTTATCTTCTCTATGTTTTGCTATAGATTAGATAAAATAAAAATTAACAAGTTCATTCTTCGTTCATAACTTTGTTGTATACCTTATGTTATAACTTACATTTTTCTTTCTCATGACGATGTCGATCTTTTTCTTTATCATGGCGATGTTTATCTTTACTGGATAAATTATGTTTATCTTTGTCTTTTTCAGAAGAGCGATGCTTTTCTTTGTCATTTGCATGAGATGTGGAATGTCTTTCCTTGTCCTTTTCTAATGAATGTTTTCTCTCCTTTTCTTTATCCTTAGAGATATTTTTATCCTTATCTTTGTCACGAGAACTTGAACTTATACTGTGTTTGTATTTGTCCTTATCCTTACTTTTTTCTCTGTCTTTCTCTTTGCTTTCTTTATCCTTGGAACTACTGTGATGTCTGCAACATAATCTGTTGTATATGAACATAAAACTATGTGTGATTAAGTACAAAATTATATTAAATATACCTGTCTTTATCCTTGGAACTTGAACTAGAGCTAGATCTGTGATAATGTTCTTTATCTTTGCTTTTATCCTTTTCTCTTTCTTTGCTTGAAGAACTACTACTTTTGTGTTCTTTATCCTTGCTAGATGATGAGTTACTCTTTCTATCCTTATCTTTATCTTTGTTACTACTGCTACTATCATGTTTATCTTTTTCTTTAATAGAACTAGAACTATGTTTATGTCTATCTTTTTCCTTTTCCCTGTGATCACTTTTATGATTTCTATCCTTCTCTTTGCTTCTCTCTTTGTCTTTATGATCTGATTTATGAGATCGTTCTTTATCCTTATCCCTATGTTCGGATTTGTGTTCTCTTTTTTTATCAAATCCATTTGACATGCCATTTATATGAGCATCTAGAAATATACATATAATATATATATACATACACATAAATATATATAATATCAACTATATTTCAAGATCTTTTTATTGAAAAAATAAATCATTTTGCATGTAATTATTTAAATAAAATTGCATAATTACTAAAATATAAAAAAAAATTATTTGTATTCCTCGATTAAATTTATTACGGCTATATTTCGAAATATTTAACTAAATGTGAAATGCAGAAATAATTTAGAATGTATTGTATTCATTTAGTTAAAAGAGGCAAATTAAGAAACATTCCATAATTTTTACTTTAAAAAATTGAAATTCTAAATTCTCATAATACAGAGCGTGAACAAGTGCCAACTAAAATAATAAAACTAAGTTTGAATTGCAGGAAGTCGTAAGTAGTTCGGACGCTTCGTCAGAGTCGAAACACGTGTCAGACCGGTCGGGTCGTTGGCAGCCTTAACTCTTTGGTCGTTGCGTTGAACTTAACATTTGCTGCTATAAAGTTCTGATTTCAGCTATGTCAGATTACATACGTTAAAACTGTACGAATAAACCACTTACCATTATGATTTCCAGTCACATTGCTATTTTCCTTGATCTTTTTTTCCTGAAACAATAAAATTCACATATAAATATCATCTTAATAAGATCGTAGCACGGTATATAACTATCTACTCCTCCGTTGGACTTAACGTCTGGCAGTGTGAAGCGAGCCAGGTAGGACTTAGTCGCAGACGCCATTTTGGGACTTAGAAAAATTTTGCATCCACGACTATGCCGTACGTACAAGAGAAAAGCCGTAATATAAGACAAAATACTAAAAAACTGTACACGTAGGTAAACGCAGTGAAGCAAACAGATATTAAATAGTCACTTACTGAGTCGGAATTCGACTGCGTTGTCGGTTGCTCGAGCTCCATTTCTCGTACAAACGCACTGATAGACTTTAGCGACGCAAGGGCTAACAGAAGCGAGAGAAGAAGACTGGGGGCACACACACCACTATCCGACTATACACTTCGCGTGAGACTGCAGCCGAGCCTACGCTTAGAGAGGAGACCCAGTCAAAGTATCAAAAATATCTAACTGCGCATGCGCTTCTTTGCTCCGCCTCTTCGATCCCCAATACAATCCCTTCCACCGCAGTTCGTACCTGCCTATTCAGTCGTTCTCTTACAATAATGCTTGGTTATGAACATAACGCTAACAATTTTATAAATAAATCACATGAGAATAGTTGTTAATGTATCAATTGCGTTTTCCTATCGATGAAAATCGCTTTAATTTTGAAAAGAAATATCTAATCTTTATCCAACCGTTGCTACAAACTTCAATTTTAAGTGGAGATGTTCGTGACATATAATCGAATATATATCGAAATTCATAACATAGGAAATATATCACATTAAAAAATTATTTATTAATTTCTTAAAATTTCATCAGTAATTCAAAGGAATATACAAAGATCTAGGCTATTGTGTGATATGATTTTTATAATATTAACCTTTTATAGTTCTGTTAATTCGCATTTTATGTCTATGGCTTATGTAAAGAAAATAGCATGTACTTGTAATTAATGGCATAATATTATATAGAGGTTAACAAGGCTTATTTTATGTCCAAATTTAACGAGTTTATTTTTATAAAATGTAGCAAAATTGGTAAAAAAGTTCACACCATCTTCTTAAATCATAATACTATTCATATTAAATTTATTAATTTTATGTTTATATAAAAAACAATCAAATCCATAATTCATAATCAAGTACATAAAAGTATACTGTATACATTTATCTTGGAGTGATATATTGTTGAACACATTGGAGCAAGTTATTTAGAATATCAATTAACTACATGTATATATACTGTATTGACATACGTGTGTATTTCTATAGCAACAGACTAGTTCGTACAATATTCAGTCAGTGCTTAATTTTAAATTAAAAATTTAACATCTTATGGTTCCTAATTTTTATAATTTTACATATTCCAATGTTGCTTCCAGCCAGGTTTCATTTTTTCAAAAGAAAATACTGCATATAACGCTAAAACAAAATTAATGTTATTACAATAAAATTAACAAACGTAATTAATTATCAAATTATACTGATTTTCTACTAACAAGTAACTTCCCATTCTGTTTGAGATAAAGTCCCAATCTCACAGCGAGTCGAAGTCTTCTGCGAGCAATATTCTTTAGCATGTTGATAATCTTTATCAGGGTTACCAGTAAGCTGTACCTCGCGTCGAGGTGGATAAGTTTCTAAACTTTGTATTTTACTAAGTAACATTCTACCTTTATCTCCATCTTTCATGCGTTCATAAAAGTTGTCAAATCTATAATTAAGCAAAATTTTCATTATTTATAAATCTGATAGATATACAGTAAGTACAGTTATTAAATTCTTTTTACCTTTCAAATAGTACTAAATTTAAATCAAACTTTGAAGCTAGTTTACGAAATACAGGTAAATAGACAAGAAATTCTGGACAATTAACAACACCTTCTAATTGAAAATGATATTTAGCACCAAAAAGAGGTGGTTTTGTTTTGTCACAAAAAAATTCTACACTATAAATGTCATTTCCAAAACCATCACCATCACACTTCTGCCATCTAGAACTGATTAAAACAAGCATTTAATTTTTGTATAACTTTAGTTAAAAGTTTTCCACATATTAAAAGATGAACTTACACTAGATCATATGCATTTGGGATAGTTCCAATAAAATAACCTCCTGGTTTTAAACATTCACTTGCATTTCTAAACATACATTCTGCTTGCTGTAGTGACTCAAAACAATAATGGAATGCAAATTGACAACTAACCAAGTCAAGTGATATACTAGGATCTTTAAATTTTGTTCTCAATTGAACCTGAAATCATTTTTTATCACTGATTTCTCCATTGTTAACATAAATAGTAATGATACAAATTTCAGACCAATTACATTTTGTCAATTATTTGTTCAGTATTCCTCTACAAACTCATGGAAAAGTAAAAACAAATACCTTTGTACAATCAGCTGTTATGAATTCTGCTGAGAATATAGGAAAATATCTTCTTTCTTGAGAATATCTTTTTGACATCTGTTTATATCGATCCTGACATTGTTGCATGGTTACATCAGCCAAATCGGTACAGATCAAATGTGCTGCATTCATTTTTTCCCATTTAAATAGATCTCCTCCTTTACCACAGCACATATCCAGCACTTTTAAACGGGCATTAGTTGGAGTTTTATTAATAAATTCCACTGTAAATGATTTTTAATCAAAATTGTTGCACACAAAAGTATTATTTTATATATAAATTAGTATCTTACGTATAAGCATGCTTTTAATCCAATTGTTAAAATTTCTCATATACAAAATTCTGCTTTTATTTCTATCTTTATTTAGTACCGAATTATAATGTTGTACTACTAATAATGAATTTTCAATGTGTTCTTCCTTGCTTGATGATTCTTTTGTTTTCTCACTGTTACTAGTAGTTAAATCTGCTGAAGTATTATTAACCTATGATATATAGATAAAAGAAACTGATTTAACAAATAAATAAAATGTTTCAAAAATGTGTAATATAATAATTATATATACATTTTGTTCGGCATCATATCTTACTCGCTTAGGTGAATTTACATCTGAACAATGTTCCTTAGTTCGAGAGTATTTAATTTGTGTATGACTTTTATCATTTACTTCAATCTTTTTTTTTCTTTCCCTAGAGAACGTCTGTGATTTTATTGTAGGTATTGTTTTTTCATTGTCTTTTTCTGATAATATCTCATCTTGCTTTTCTTTGGCTTTATTCATTACTTCAGATGCGGACATATCCAAGTAAATGAGATCTCGTCCAATTATTAAATCTTATTCTACTGTTTTCTCAATAGATATTTCCGTTTCTTAATAAATATTATATTATGTACACATGTAAATAAATCATTAGTATCAAATATGTTTAAGTAAAAACAAACCATTTGTAAAAAAAACTATATACGCATAGCACTTACAGTGCTAACAATTCTTTTACGTCTACTCTGCATCTATTTTCAGTAAAATCAGGATCGGAGTTATCAATGCTGACAACGTTATTCGTATTTCACAAAAATACCCTACAAGTTATAACGGCCTTTATGCAGTGTTTTCTTTCTATTTCTAAATAGCTTTTTTAGCCATTTTTCAGTTCGCTCACGCATTCTATCTTTATATCCCTATGGCTTTAGAGCTCCGCGGTCCAAGCCTAAATTCCCCAAACAAATACGCAACATAGTAACTAAAGTAACAATGTATATTTAGTAATTTAAAATACAGAATTTATTAACAAATAGACATACATAGAATAATATGTACATATAAACAGATAAGCCTCATTTCTTTCAAAACAGAAATTATATTTTTACTCCTAAGTAATAATTTGAAAGATTTCTTTATTTTAAATTAAGCATTGAATTATACAAAGTACCTTTTTCAATTAAATAATATTAAACAATCTGTATTATTTATATCTTACATATTTGATTTTGTTTTTTTATAAATGTATGCACCTTATAAATATGTAATGTTCCTTCTTTTGTTTTGAATTATATTATGTAAAAGAATAGTAGTCAAGTAAAGAACATGTATTTATTATCCACGTATATAAATTTATATAAATTTTAATGAAATTTTATTGATAACTTTATTTACCACAGTGCTGCCAAGTATGCACTTGCTTTCACATATGCATGCCTTGCTATAGCTTCAAAGATAGCACACTTTATTTAACTCAAACAGCTATATATTAATAATACTTCAAGAAATGCGACGAATATTTCGTTGTTACGACGATATTTTGTAGTACATAAAAAGGAATTTACATATTATATCAATATAGCTACATTTTTTAAGGTTGGTGGTAGGTAGACATTGAAATTTCATTAGAGATTGTATGTATTACATTCTCTCATCTATTATCTGATCTAGATGTGTTATGTATGTAACATTCTTATCTAACAGCTTATCTGAAATTCAATAAGAAAGCAAGATAAATAATAGTATTTTGCTTCACTGTTAGTAAAAATCATGTTCCTCTATTTTTTTTTCAGATATTTAAAGAGTTATTCATGTACAATTTATATAAATTGTTGAGCTTTTTATTTAACGTACTCTTCTATTAGAATAAATTTTGCATGCATTGTAAGATCATGGATACATTTCCTACGCAAAGGTATGAAACAAAGATTGAAAGTTTTGACACATGTATGATCGATCCTGCAAATCAACAGCAAGAAATATCTGAAACAGTCAGTGATCAGACATCTTCTCAAACAATTGAAATAGAGAATCAAGAAAATCATGAAAATTCAAATTTACATCAGCAACAACATGATTCAGAAGTGCAACATCAACAAGATCAACCTAATCAAATTTCACATATACAATCCAATATTCAACAAAGCATGACTCTTACTCCAATTAGAATACCAGCTATACTCGATGGAGAATATTTTACAGTAATTAGAGTAGAAGACAGTAATATAACAGTTCAATGTGTACAATGTCAAAGACATTTAAATGGAAATTTGAGATCTACTGGAAATTTTTTAAGTCATATTAAAGTAAGATTTATTTATTTTCAGAATTCTTGCACTTTAATATAATTGTTTTGTATTCATTAATCTAAGTGTTCTACAGAGATTACATCCTTTTATGGTTGATAAAATTAAATCTAAAGCTAATCAAAGAAAACCTGCAATGATATATATTGATTTATCAGCAGCTAAATGTCAAGAAATAATAAGAACAAGAGGAGGATATAGGAAATGTTACAAAACAGTAAGCACATTGTTCACGAGCTTAATCTTATATGACAAAAAATTAAAATTAAAATTTTGCAGAAATTTAAAAAGTTATATTTATTTAGGATGTATGGCAACCAGAAAGTGAGGAAGCTTATGATCAGTCTAATGAATGGTCTGAAAGTCCAGTAATTCGTAGACGTAAGATAGATGAAGCTGAATGTTCTGATCTTTTAAAAATATCACATAATAATTCATTTGTAATGGGAGATGAGTTTGATGCAATTGGACGAAATATTGCAGCAAAACTTAGAAGTATGAAATTAGACCAAAGAATTATAGCTGAAAAATTATTAAATGATATTTTATTTGAAGCACAATTAGGAAATCTTCATAAAGACTCTAATATACATGTATAGGAAAAACATGTTATAGACTAAGGAATGTGTGCAAGTAGATAATATAGTTATAAATGAATGGATGTATAAGGGAGCATATATTTTTTATCAAATTAAACTTATTAGTATTTCTTTATTAATGTTATCTTAATACGTACCACTTTAATATTAATAATCTCAAAGTGGTTTTCTGCTAAGATTTGGCAGTCAATATGAAACAATGTGTAAAAAATATTTTACACAAATATTTTTTAGTTAAAATCGCGATAATAAAGAGATAGTAATGAAATGATAAGTATTTAAATTTAATATACATCTTTAAAGATGAGAGAAACACAGAGTAAGAGATATACATATTTTAACACTTATAAGTATTCACATAAGTATCTCTATATATAAATGTGCAATGTAAATATTACTATACAGATATAAAATTCGTAGATAAGGAGAAATGCTGCTGTATCTAGTAACTATATGTAAATGTTTTTAGACGGATTTTCTTATGAATGTTTCATAAACATAGCTACCTAATTTATAATCATGTATGATAAATACATTTTTCACATTATGTAACTATCAATATCAGTCCTCAGTTTCTCAGTTTAGATTTAAACATTGTAACTATAAATTTTAATTGCATCAGCTACTCCATTGTCCTATTCGTTAATAATAGTTTTCTAGTATATCTATTTTGTAAATGATTTGTATAAATATAAAACAACCTCATGTTCAAGTAATATATAAAAATTAAAGCATTTGTGAAATCACGTTTCAATGAATATTTTACCATGAGACAATTTTATCCATTTGTCAGCTGGTATATATTCTACGTTTCTTTGGTTTAAGCAAAGCACAATAAATTATAGTTGATAAAACGCATAGTGTCATACTTCCAAGAATGACCAAAAATATATAAGAATACCAAAACCCATCCCAATCTGCATAAAAATACCAAGATAATGTTAAAAACGTATTTTGCATTAATACAAAAATATAATATGGCAATACCCACTTATCTGCATACTTAAATTTAATTCTATATTCAATTAAACTAACTATGTACACTAATCCTAGCCATAAATTAAGAAAAAAAGTAATAATGTCATAATATTGCGTATAATAAAAAAGATATATTAACATAATACCATAATGTATACCAAGCACAATGGATAAGTAAAGTGGGTAAAATTCGTAGAATATAGCAATGGTAAGTATACGTGCTAGAATAAAAAAGAACCACCATAAAAAACTCAAAAATTTTCCTACAGGATCATCTTCTTCTAAACCTTTTGCTGAATATCTTCGTTGTGGAACTTTTAAATCTTGTATGGTATTGTTCTTTCTTTCTGCAATAGATACCACCTTAGTAAATAATTGCTCAGATTCTGCATTTTTTGGAACTATACATATTGAATCTGGTCTTGGTGGAGCTGGTACATCTGGTATAGGTAAAGGTGTAACTGTAGTAATTCCACGTAAAGGAGTTGGAGGTGGTGTAATATATACATTTTTAGGTGGTAAAGGAGGTGTCACAGATACTTGACGATCTAAAGAAATGTGAGAATCACATTGCTCCTTATCTTTGTGTTGAACTTTTACAGATTCTGGTTGTTCTAAAGAATTATCTATAGGGTTATTTTCTTTTTTATCAGATAATTTTAAAGGTGTGCCTTCTTCAAAATCACAAAGTTCCTATAATTATATAAATTAAATAAATACTTTAAAAGGAAAAATTATTTTCCCATGTTGTACGTAACCATGTAATTTTTAATATTAAGATACCTGAATGCAATATTTCTTTAACCACATTGCCCATGGTAGTTTCCTACCATTAATACGTTGACTTTCAAATCTTTGAAATGAGGTAGTCTGAATGGCAAGTATTACAATGGATATAGTAATAGAAAGCACCTTTACAACTGCTACAAAAATAATCTTAATTTGGTATTTATAACTTTATTTAAATTATACTGCAAATCGTAGAATAAAATACCAGATTGATGAGTCTGATGAAATGATGATTCACGAAAGAGTAAATGTGTTTGAAAGAGAGCTTGAGGAACTGCTTGAAACCATGCTTGTAAAAAGAAATATAATTCTATAGCTGCAGGAGCAGCTGCTATGTTTAAAGTCTCAGTTCTTTCTTTTCCACTTAAAATAATAGCTTCAATAGATAGTACTATAAGACCTGCATACCTAAAAAATAATTAGATATTATATTAATATAAATAAATGGGACTATTAGTTATTTTGAGTAGAAAATATTAATACCTATAAAGAGAAAAAAAAACAAAACCTATCAGTTGACAAAGTTGGAGACAGAACCAACAAAACATTCCCTTTGTTAATTTATCATCATTTGACATCCACCAATCTGGTCTTGAAACAGTTAACATAAAATATGCAATTGCTGGTGCATACATAAAACAAATAGTACAACAGCCCCATACTAAGTTATTTTCTTTGAAATGCTGTATAGCAACTACTAAATCAGCAGAAAAATGAATTATATATACAAAACAGCTGATTAATGTTGGAATCAAGAAAATTAAATAAATCTGTTCAGTTGACTTTAAAGGAATTTGCAAGAAACGGGTGGACTTTTTTTCACAAACTGAATCTAAATTGTTTGTCATTTTTTGTGATTAGATAAATTTTTCTATTTTTTCATATTTTTCTTCCTTTAAAATAATCATATGATTATCTGAAATAAAGAATTGTATGATAAAACAAGCCATAAAATTAAAGATACCTTAAACTATTTTTAATTTATCACATAAGAATATATATAATATATGAGTTGAAATTCATGATAATTAACAATGTGTAAATAATGGTACATTTTTTTAATTAAACGATTTACAATAATTGAAAATGTATATACATTACCTATATAAGTACTGTTGAAAATTAATTGCACTTTCATATGGGAGAAAGAATATTCTCTTCCATGGATTTAGTTACATAAATTTTTTACTAAAGAACCAGATGTAATGTTTTCTATTATTATAAAAATTATTTTTTATGTTATATGTTATAAATGGTATAAAAATGCCGATGATACCCGTTAGGTGGGACAGACTATTATTCTAATCGCGTTCTGTTGATACACGCGGTTTAATATTACATGTACCAACACAAAATTTATTCGCGCAAATGCGTCTATATTGTAATTATTAGTCAGCGTATGAAATAGAGCTGATAATTCGATAAGATTTCATTTTGTTGATCTGCGATAAAGCGCCTTCAGATATGGACGCTTATTGCAAATGGAGAATTGCTTCAGAAAGCATAAATAGAGCACGAAGAGCGGAATGAAAGAGGGGGAGGGAAGGGAGGATGATTGGTAGCTTATACACATACTTTTCAAAAACTATTGCATGAGAATTATGTTTTAGAATTTTATTTTACTTTTTGTATGGGATTTATTTAATAAGGATCATATCTTAGTGCATAAAAAATAACATATATCATTTAGATAACTTTTATATTTATTGTCTATACATTTCACTCTTTTTATCATCACCATTATTCTCAATTGGTTCTAAATCAGATAAAAACGTATTATATTGTTCCATAATGTCTTCGTCAGTAGAACCTCTACTTTTATCGTCATAATCAGGCCCAACTGACCACAATGTTTCTAAATCATATAATGATCTAGCAAAACTTGAAAAAATATGCAATACAATATTTCCTAAGAACAAGAGGAATATATAGTAATTCGATTATTATAAAGATATAGTAAAGATATAATAAATCCCAACACAATAAGAAAATTACCTAAATCTAAAGCAAGCCAATCTTTTGAATCTTCTCCTTCAATTTTTGGCAAGAAATCTGTTTTGTTCTTTTTTAATTTATACACTTTCCGGATAAAATTAGCAAGTGACTGCATGTGCTTCTTTGATCTACCTGTTACTATAACTACGTAATCAACATATTGTAATTCAGAGGGTACAGAAGTAACAAAGATATTTTTGGCATTACTTTTTTGTAATAATGATATAAGATCTTCTATTTCAAACACACCGTTTACGCCACCTGAAAAATGATTGTATTGATATCTTGTATTAAAGAACATTATTAATAATTGTCCTTAAATAGCAAAAAGTTTGTATAATAGTATATAAATAAGTTTCATTACTACTCACGTTTTAAATTTATTCCTTCATAAGGATCGTGAGGTTCTTCCTCAATTCTTAAATCTTCTAAATTAATCATTTCTTGTTTTTCACTGACATCAAAAATAATTTCTGCATTTTCATCTTCAAAAACTTTATGAGTGGTACTAAGCGAACCGACTAGGTTATGTGACTCGTTTTCAATATTTTCATCGTCATTAAATTGTTTTTGATTGTTATTTGGAAACATCGTAATTTGTCTTAATTGAGAATATGTTACTACATTTGTACGAGGTTTTAAATATTTATAAAATTGTATTTTTGTTCGTAATAGACTTGTTAGTACAGTTTGCATGTTGTTCTGCACATATACAGCGAGGTTAAGTTTATTCGAATAACGTAAACGCCAGTTATTCCATTTGATCGCTATCACTATTAAATCATTATAATTGTATAACATATTTTCTAATTTTATATCAACTCATATTATAATTGTATAATATATTTTTTAATTTTATATTATGGAGGTTAAGGTTAAGAAAACAAGGTTCCAAGTAATTTAAACGATCAATTTATTAAATTGTATAAGTCACGTGCATGGTAATAAAATGAACTCTCTGCATAGGAGAAGTTAATTGTGAAAGTTGAAATCGATACAATTTTTTAAAGTTGACCTGGTTGATAATGTTACTCTTACAGCTGAAACAAAAATTTTATAAAGCTAATAAGTGCCTTTTTTTAAGACTTGTGTTAAGATTTGTACATATAAAATTATTTTTATAAGTAGAACTTATATATTACAAACATGACCAAATGTTCGGAAAATTGCTTCTTAAATTTCTTTTCAAGTAAATCTTTTATATACCATATTTATCAATATATATTACTATTTTAATATCTTTTTATAACAAAAAAGAATGTTAAATATATATTATAATACGCTATATACTTACAGAGGTTATAGATATAAAATTTATTTAGACCTCGCACGCATTTTCCTCCTTTTACGTTTTAGCCTACGCATCCTCTTTTTTCGCCACTAAAAATGAAAAATTTCCTATTTACTTTTCTTGTATTTTTATGTTTTTTGATAACTTAACCTATTGCTTTTGTGATTCGAATGTTAGGAAACATGTCAAATAACCATACAGTGCAGCAACAATTGAAGAAATATTTATTTTAGGATTCAAAAAATATGTAATAGCAAACTTATCATCAAAAATATTGAAATTAATAAGAAATATTAATATCCTATTACCTTCGCTCTCATTTTCTGAATATGAGATTTCTAGATTAGTCTAGAATATCTCGATTGCGTTAGTCGGACCTTCAACCTCGTGCACGTTTTAATGCCAGTATGGAAGAGAATAGCTCGCTTCTTCTGATGTTCTGATCCTGGAAATTTTAGTCTCTCTAGTTCTTATGTTTACCTCTAGAGGGCTAATTAATTTTATGTACCCGTATTTTATACACATTATATTAAAACGACTTGTTTAAATCAATTTGTAGAATATAAGTAATATCATATTTATTAGTGTTGATTTGTATCTGTATATTTTCTATTGTGTACTGTCTTAAATTAATATCTTATATTTTTCGGATGTTTGTTTTTACGCGGGAATTGATATTCTTCCATTTCCTTTTTACATGCCTTCGGTTTCCCGCGTTTAAAGCTTTTTCCCGCGGAAAGTCTCGAAGTACGGCACTTATAGCGCGGCACATAGGTACTTAGAACGTGTTTTATTAAGGAAGTATATGTAATTAATTAGAACATTTAATTTGTAAATTGAAATAACATTAATGAATGTGTAATTTTATTCAAACTTTGGGAAAATTGTTCAGTGACTTTTTGGCTTTTCCAAAAAATTGTAGGTTAAAAAGCAATAGGAAACAGATATTAGACACATTATTTCTACAGAAAGAATCAAATTTTTGTGTACGAAAATTGTGTATGTTAATTTATTAATTGTGTAATTTAATTAATAAAAAAATGACAGGTGTTCAAATGACAATTCCATTCAAAATAACAAAGAAATGTTCATTTTATGGAACTAAAAATAATGTAATGAAAGAAGATTTTAGTAATGCAACTGCGAGAGATTCTTCTCATAAATATACACCATCTGTGAAGAAGATTATTACTTTAAGTAGTAGTGAATCAGACTCAGACTCAGATGTAGAAAATACCAAAGTCAGTGATAATGCTATAAGTGTAAAAACTCCTCAACGTATGCAGAATTCAACTGAATCTGATGGTATGTGTAATAAATGAATTTATACATTTTTAATGAATATATATTTTTTGTATAGAATGATGCAAATGGTTTTGTATATCTTTTTTAGAAGATCATGGTTCTACACCTCCAAAACAGAGAAGGATAGATAAATCATTTCCATTAACATCTCCAACCACACCTTCTACTCTTTTTGATAAATTAAATTTGGAATCTTCTCCAACTAAGGAGGAAAAACTGGCTCCTAAAAGATTATTTGGAACAGAAAGATATCGCAATGCTCGCAAAGCTTTGCACAGCTCAGTACCTGATACCTTACCTGGTAGAGAAAATGAATTACAAGAGCTACAAGAATTTATGGAAGAGCATTTAAAAAATGAAACATCAGGATCCTTATATGTATCAGGACCACCTGGAACTGGAAAAACTGCATGTCTTTCAAAGCTTATATTAAAGACTGAGTTCAAATCAAAATTTAAAGTAATCTATGTTAATTGCACAACTATGAAATCTGCTGCTACAATTTATGAAAAAATTATACAGAAGTTAGGATTACCACCCATTTTAGCTGAACGAAAATCTGGAAAATACAGTAAAGGAGTTATTGAAAAATATTTAGGCTCTAATCATAAAATGTTGCTATTGATTCTAGATGAAATAGATCAATTAGAAAGTAAAAAGCAATCTGTTTTATATTCTATCTTTGAATGGCCATCAATACACAATTCGAAACTGATTTTAGTTGGAATTGCTAATGCTTTAGATTTAACAGATAGGATATTGCCCAGATTACAAGCTAGATGTGAATTGAAACCAAAGTTGATGCATTTTTCGCCATATACAAAACAAGAAATATGTAATATAATATCTGAAAGATTAAGTGAAGCAAATGTGTCTGACTTGTTTACTAAAACTGCAATACAAATGTTATCTGGGAAAGTTGCTGCCATTTCTGGTGATATTAGAAGAGCATTGGATATCAGTAGAAGAGTAATAGAACTTGCTGAATCTCATAAATTAGCACAAGTTTTACAACCTACCAATAATAATGGTATGTGTTATAGAGCAAAATAAAAGTAAGAAAAAACATTGCTATTTTCTAAATAAAATAAATTCATTCTTTTTTACAGAAATAAATATACCTAAAAAGCAACAATCTGCAGTGGACCAGCCAGTGGATCTAAAAGAAGTCATCACTGTATTAAATGGTATTTATGGTGGATCTCAAAATATTGAAAAGGAGGAAAGTACATTTCCATTACAACAAAAATTACTATTGTGTTCTTTGTTACTTATCCTAAACAAAGGACGAAACAAAGATGTGACAGTTGGGAAAGTAAGTGTACAATAAAAAAATAACTGTTTAATAAAAAATTTCAATGTATATAAATATAGTTCTGTTTTAGTTACATGAAGTGTACAAAAAGGTTTGCAAGAAACGAAATATTCATGCTGTCGATGGTTCTGAATTTTATAGTCTATGTTCATTGATAGAAACCAGAGGTATTTTAAAGTTAACAAGAAAAAAAGCAGCTCGTTTGACAAAAATAAATTTGGAATGGGATCAAGAAGAGTTAGATGCAGCTTTGCAAGACAGGAATATGATGGCAGAAATCATTAACGATATAACTTGTTTATAGATGTTATTTAAAGAAATTTTCATAATTTATTAAATTTCATATCATTTTGTAAATATTAAAAAGTATATAGCATCTTTTTAATAATTTGAGAGAACCACTTTAGAATAAGCTGTATAAATTATTTCATGTTTTATATTATTTTTTTATATCACAATGAACGCATTTAATGTTTCATATATTGTATACAAGTTGATGTGAAAGGAGAAATTTATGTGATTTTTAGTGTGTACCGTAGCGGTCTTTTTAAATTTTTGAAACCAAGCAATACATATTTTTGTTTCAAATTTTATTTCTTGAGCATTTTGTTATATTTGACTTTTAATAAATATAACATATTTTTAATTGTATTTATTATTATTTTGGCCCATTTGCATATAAGAAAAAGGTAAGTTAAGTTGGTTCATACATTATTTAAGGTAAAAATAAGTTAAAAATTAACTATTTTTGTGGTTATTCCACACAAAGCTGCCATCTACTGGTAAATGGTGACATTTGTGAAATGCTTTTCGTTCATTACTGCGTCTCTTTTCACAGAGTTATAAGTTACAACTTTTGAATCATGTCTTCGGTACTTGTGCCTGAAATTCCTGCTCCTGGATTTTCTTTTGATCTTTGTCAAAGGTAATGGTAATTATTTTAAAATTAAAAACATCTTTATATGTATATCAGTACAAACAATCATAAAAGTGAAAAGTAATGTATCATGCTGCATAACCTATTACAAGTTAATATTGCTGTGTCATTTCGTAATATTATTGATTTTTCCTAATAAACTTTTCTTATGAATTTATAAAATACATAAAGAACTGTAGAATTTATTTCAGTGTATATTTTTTTCAGAAACAATTTTTTGGTAAAGAAAGGATTCCAAGCACCTAAAGCTGTTAAAACAGGAACAACAATTGCTGGTGTTGTTTATAAAGATGGAGTGGTTCTTGGTGGTGATACAAGATCAACAGAAAATACCATAGTTGCTGATAAAAATTGTAGTAAGATTCATTATCTTACTGAAAATATATAGTGAGTATTTAAAAAAAAAATTAATTTCATTAGTAATTATTCAAAGCAATATAATATTAACTAATATTCTAATTTAAGAATAATTAATAGAATAATTTAATAATTATTTTTAAGTTGTTGTGGTGCTGGAACTGCTGCTGATACTGAAATGACAACTCAAATGATATCCAGTCAGTTGGAGTTACATCGTTTAAATACTAACCGCATAGTGCCAGTTTGTACTGCAAATGCTATGATTAAACAATTATTATTCCGTTATCAAGGAAATATTGGAGCAGCTTTAATATTAGGAGGTGTTGATTTGGATGGACCACATTTATATTGTATTCATCCTCATGGATCTTCAGATCGTCACATTTATACTAGTATGGGTACAGGATCATTAGCTGCAATGGCTGTATTTGAAAGTAGATGGAAACCTGATATGACAGTAAGAATTTAAATATTTTTACTTATTTTATTATATTTTGTACAATCACATATTTCATTTTTAAATTTTTGTAGGAAGAGCAGGCTAAAGAATTGGTTGCAGATGCCATTCGCGCTGGTATATTTAATGATCTAGCTTCTGGTTCTAACGTAGATTTATGTGTCATACGTAAAGGTTCTGTTGATTATTTACGCCCTTATGATGTTGCTAATGTTAAAGGACAGCGCAATATATCGTACCGATATAAACGTGGTACTACCGCTGTGCTTAACAAAACGGTTCATCCTATAATCATTGAAGGGGAAACTGTGCATAGGCTTAATACAGAGCCAATGGATACTTCATCATAAAATGTATCAAACAGTTTTACTTTACATTTGGATATATATGTGAATTTGTAATAAATAAAGCCTTAATCTCTCTTTCATAACGCTTAAATTTATAAAATTCAATATTCTTTCCAATTAATAAATTTAATTCCAAACATTAAAATATAAATATATAACATGATTTTATTTTATTTTAGTACTGTAATCACTATGGTACAAAATAGTATTATTAAAGCACAATGTTTTAAAAAAGTCCCGCCGATTGTTTTAGTCTTTGTCTTTTCCAAGCAGGAAGTTTTACAAATTCGTCCGGTTCCATTTTAAAAATTGCAATGAAATTATCGAAAGTAAGATGCATTTCTTTACGGACAACGTCAACACCGGATGGTAAATTTTCCGGATCACCTTTTAAGACAGAAAGAGGATACTTTACATAATTATCGAAGTCACTCAATGATTTCGATAACGTTTGTATTTTCGGTAGAAATTCTTTATCTTGCAGAAGTGTGCAAAATGTTTCAAACGATTTGTATTCTCTCAGTAAATTGTAATTCCAATTATCGAATAATCCAATGAACGTTGAAGGTTCCATACCTAAAAAGATGATAAAATTATTTTACTTCAAGGTCTTTTGGTATCTTTGTTTTTCGTAAATAAATAATTTACAATACCCTGTTTAATTATAGAAATCGTTGTGTTTCGATCTCGACCAGCTGGGTGAGTGAATAAAAATATCATTGCATCATGTACACACTCCTTCAACGATTTAGGAATAGAAGACTTTCCAATCCAGATCCATATCACATTTCCTGCATCTAATAACCAAATAGCTTCTGGAAGGAGACTGTTTTGACCAAATCCAAGAACTTCTTCGCCAACAAACATTTCATTGTCCGTCAAGCATTGGTATAGATGTTTTTCAAGTTCTTCTCCGTCGTCAATAACTTCTGTGCCGTAAGTACCTTTACCTTAAAGATTAAATTTAAAGTTCACTGTTATAATCTAATGTTAAATTCATATTATAATTCTTATTATCTTTCGTCAACCTCCGAGTTCTCTCCAAAAATCGTCATCTTCGTTATTTTCAGTTATCAGAGGTGCATTTCTGGGCGCAAGTCGTCTAGATGCTTGTCTAGCGTCACCAGTACTTCTTCCACCACACCATACTACAGGTGAATTAGAAAATAGAATAAAAACTCCACTAGAATCGAGGCTGCTGGATGATCTCAAAGGCCGTTCAACTGCTTTCGACGTGTATGGAGTAGATCCGAAAACTCTAACGAGATACTTTTCCGGAGCTACGAAACAAACATCTCATTAAGAATTTAATTAAATAAACATAATAAATAATTTATCTTACTGCTTACGAGAATCGCGATGCCTTCCAGCTAGTATTTTCAATTTTCCGTCGTAAATCTGCAACAAATGAGGTGGTTCTCTGCCTTGACATGCTTTTACTAACTGGCCAGAGGTATCTTCTGACAAATGACAAGCTGCTTCTAAAGCGGCTTCTCGATCCGCGTTTATAGAATGGACTCCTTCCCAACAATAAATCTGTGATGTCACGTTATTTCAAATTTAATAATAATTAGTAATAGTTATTGTTAATTTAACAATCGAAATTACATTTTCAACGTACGATTGTTCTACTCCTACGTCCTTGTCCATATTTGTAGCACATTACGTAACAAGCTTCTGCGTAGTATATTCCTTTGTCATCCACTTGAATCATTCCTTCTTTATGGGTTACTCTCCAAAGAGTTCTTTGACCGGATCCATCGTCAACTAGTTGGCAGCCAGTAGCCATTTTAGGTCTTTCATTCATATAGTCAGGATCAAAATTCGGTGGTAGAGTAAGCGGTCTTGTCTTCGCCGGTTCCCACCCTCTAATAAGAGCCTTCATCTCCGTTGGTTCACAAGCTTCCAGCGCTCTTTCCACTAATACACCATTACTATAATTTTTCTTTTTTACAAATCCTCGTGCGTTACGAATCGCTTCCAATTTTTCTCGGGCGTTCACATTACGCCCGACCCAAGCCCAAACACCAGCCTCACCACGATCGATTAGGTAAACGGCTTCGGATGTGAGATCAGCTCGGAGAATCGGTCCAGATTTCAGTTCAGCGACCTTATATTTACCGGATTGTTCGTTACATCTATACAGTTTAACTGGGCTTGGCATATTGACTCGGTAAAGGCGATCCGGCTTGACCACTCTTGTGGAAGGATTTAAAATACTGGCGAACAGTTGTCTATCTCCCTCCGGTAGTGTCTGTTCGTAACCATCATCGATGATGATGATACGACCATTGTTATTTTCTTTTCTCACTTCCAAGATACTGGCAGCGTGTCGTTTGTGCAATGGATCTGCTGACGATCCCAACCAAAGGAATACGATAGCCCTATGTACCATTATATTATTATTAATATATTATAACAGAATGATTAACGATTATTCAATTCAATTTCCTACGCACTGCGATAGAACGTCCACAAGAATAACGTCCCGTGAACTGAAATGATCCCAATGAACTTTTTCAAGTTCCGTCAAGACAGGGATCGCTACGCCAGTTACTCTGTGCAATTTGCATGATGGTGTTTCAAAGTGGAAATTTTCAATAACAAGATGCTGGCGGAAATAGGCTAAAAATCTAGCACTTTCTCGTCCTTGGGCCTCCCTTGATAGAATCGTGGCAGATATTTGTGAATCTAATTCGGCCGCTCGAAGGGCTGCTGCCCCAGAGATTGTTGAATCGCAAGCAGATCCAATCCAGAAATGAATTACACGAACTATCGCAGTCGACTTTATCTCCTTAACCTGTTTAAACGATATAAAGAATATAGTTTACGCATATAATTAAACTGTGGGTGTTTATATAAATTCAAATTTTTATAAACATAACTAAAAAAGGATATCTTTTAATTTTCCATAAATGCATTCGAAGTCTACATATGGTTGATCAAAAATCATAATGGTGTAAGTGAAGACTTATTTTAACATTCAAAAGTACATAATATTTCTTTAATTCCATAGTTAATTAAGTTACAATTTTATTCTTTAAAGGAGAAAGAATTACCGGCATTCCAGGGTAAGGTAGTGGACCGTCTTTCGGTGACACCGCGTAGATAATGTATGCCAGCTCCGAGAGGAAATGTCCCATATTACTTCCTGTAACGGCTGTAACTCGTAAACCCTGTTGCACGAACATTAAAGGAAAATTTAGTGCTTCACACTTTCACTCTTTGTATTTCTTAAACTCTCGAAAAGCAGCGTAGCTAACTAAAACTATGCGATACATCTAAACTACGTGCATATATCGTAATATAACGGGGAGTATAAATTATGTTGCATTTTTATTTTGTTACGGTACCTCGATTTTCCAAATGCGAAATGTACTGCTGTTCCTCGGAACATTCTTAAAGATTTCACCGTTAGAATCATCGGAACGGCAGGTTCTGTCGTCCTGAGACACATAATTGAAATTTGACTTTTAGGAAACTGTACTCTTTTTTAAGTAGGTAAATTTTGTATAAATAACTTTTATCATATGACAAAGCAATCTTTCGTTATTTGAAAAAATTTTGCAAATGAATCTTGTTTTATACGTGCAAAATAGTCCGGTAATAACGTTATCGCGAACTTTAATTTCAAGGATTTTATAATGGGTAATGATATCCAATTGATGTGGTCATTGGTCATATACGCGTTATCGAGCAAAAATAAGAAACAAGCGATATGGAAAATGAATCCGCGAAATTACAATTTTAGTCATTTTCGCGGTAAAATTATATTGACCTTCGTTTCTCCTGGTAGTCTGAGACATACAATAGCTCACGAAAGTATTTGAATACTTGTGGGAATTCTTTTTGTATATATTATGTGCGTTATACGAAACATTATGGGATTTTATTAGCACTGCAACGAGACACAACTATCGTGATTATATTGATAAAATTTGAAACGAATCTGAAGATGTATATAGAAGTTGCAAGATATTTATAATACACATAATATATTCATTAAAAATTCTTATGAATGTTTCACTTTCGTGAGACATTATATTCTGTTTTCTTTTATACTTTTCATAGTCCAGGTTAGTGTAATAATAATACCGGCCCGTATATTCTCCTCACGCTTTCCTTCACTCAATCGAGATCGTTATTTTTACTATATCTTTAATTACACACCGGCTCTTCGATCTTTCCCAATAGTTCTGACATTTGCCACTGTTTCTTCGTTTTCAAACACGATTTTATTTTTCGCGCTCTTATCGATCACTGACCGTCCGATCCTTTATGAATTACTTGTCTATTTGAAATTGATCGAGCACCTGTTTGATCGTTTCGGATCTCGAACTCGGAATCACGACACGAGTGTGCGCGCCTGTATTTCGCAACGGAGAAACGCGATCAGTGCTCGCACTGAACGGTTGCTGGCAGAAAACTGGGGTATGAGAACTCACGGGAGTGAAGTCCTCGGAAGGACTTAATCGCAGGTGATCCGTAATCGAGCGTATGTATGTTTGTGCAGGCAACTATTATATGTAAGTCTGTTTCTCTCTATGTTTATGTTTGCGGCCATAATTGAACGGCCTAAAGAAATATAGCTGGCGAAATAATCATTATTTTTATCAAAAATTAATTGCCGTGTACTTTTCACGGCGGATGGTGTTTCTACTGGAGCAGAATGTAAGCAAGAATAAGTGTTACAGAGAAGCGGATGTATATTGTTTCTGTATCCACAGAAATAGCTCCCAATTAGACGCGGTGGCACAGTTTGAATGCGGGGAATATTCATATTTGATACTTAATTGGTAACGAAGAATAGATAATTTTGGATCTTCCTGAAAAAAGGATCGCGTTATTTCGATAATCCCTTAAATTGCCAAGTTATTGTCACTGGACTAAGCTAAATCCATAGTCATTCGTTTCGACACGAATAACTTTTTATGACTGATTTGTTAATCATTTCTATGCTTTCCACGGATATCTATCGTGCGTTGTCATGGTTTTGCTACAATATATGTATTTCAATAGCGATGAGGTAACACGCTGCTACCTCCGGGTGTGCGCCGATTGCCGTTAATGCTCTAACTTGTACATAGGTGTAGGTGATGCAAAGTGCAACGTTCGCACGTATACAGCCACGCTATTGTCTTTGCAGATAATGCAGATGCATCTCCACGTTCATTCATGTCCACGCCCGCACACACGTACGTTACGAACGGTACGTGTGTACACTGTACACGTGTTATTCGAGCGTCGTCCGCGACGATCATTTGCGGCAGGAAGTGGTGACTGCACTTGCCGCACGCCCACCAACCTGTACATAGCCGAATCTCTCGCGAACGATCGTTTCGCGAGGAAGTAAAAATTGTTGTTGTACAAGTTGACGCTGTTTTACCAGATTTATAGTGCGGGAAAAACTCTTTTCCTTTAGCAGTAATACGGTATGTAATGATGTTTTTGCTGCTACTTTCTAAAATTATAAAATATTACTTTGTGTAAAAGAATTGGCAGAAATACAAAATCAAAAAACAGATAATAAGATACAACACAATTTGCTGCTGTTCAAATTGGCGCTGTTTTGCCAAATTTATCGCGCAGAAAAAGTTCTTTCCTTCGTTCCCTTTCTCTTTTTCTTTAGCAATAATACGATATGTAATAATATTTTGCTGCTAATTTATGGAATTATAAAACATTATTTCACATGAAAGAATTGAAAAAATGTAAGACTAAAAAATATAATAAAACACGATAAAATTATGTATTTATTTATGAATGTTTAACTTTGTTCTTTTCCTTATCCCGGTTAGTTTTGCGTCTTTGGTTTCACATAGTTACGCTCCTCTGCAGACTCACCCGTCTAGAGAAATCCATCGTTCTTTCTTCTCCGTTTTTCCGTCACGTCATTTAAAGGAATGTATACGAACGAATTCGCGGCGATATGCACGAAGGAGCAGAAGAAGAGGCGTTTGCTGCGAGGTAACACCGTCTAACTGTACGTGAACACAACTGATACCATGCGTTCCTGGCTAAAAAGAAACCGTAGCGGTGCAGACTCGTCCGGAAGTCAGCCCGGAACCCCGACCGGCCAGCCGTGACCAACGGGTACTTGTTGGATATACGTTTCAACCATGCGGGCATCGCCTCTACGCCATACACATCTCGCTTCAGCGCACCTGTTCTGTACCTTTCTAACGTCATTCTGACATGTTGAAGGTCCTCTATCGTGCTCTTCTTTTTCCTCTTGGTTATCTTCGTTCGAATAACGGAGACAACGTAACGATCGTGATTATCTTGTATCGTTTCATGGAAGATGAAGAGGGTAATTGTTACACTCTTTTATTTATTACAGAGAATTAAATTAAAAAAAAAGACGAATATTTCTTTTAACAATGAATGAAATAATATAATAGTACAGACTATGATACACACAAATTTGAAAAAGCATAGATTAATTATATATTTAAAAAATGTAATATACGTACAGTTCCACTTATAATGCGATCGTGTTTCAGAAAAATGATTGCGACTCAATGGTCTTCCTAAAAATTACTTGGATACACTAAGTGTATTCAATACTATTGTAATATAATATAATTGTAATACGTAATATACATGTTGAAGTCGTGTGAATTTGAAAGCTGCTCATTTATTATGTTACTGAAGGGTGTTGTTTTTCCATGCGCGTCCAGAGATGGAATCGGCACCTGTCAGTCGATTTTAACGGATACGAGAAATTTTTGAAGTCTTTTTATATGATAATTATAATATAGCAATTTTATATGACGCGGTAAGAAGCCGATGGATTGGAGAAATGACGAATCTGATCATTCAAGCGGTTTGTGACTGTTTTGTCGCAGGTTGTGAACCCTTCGGTTTCATCAATATTAAATCGCGTCTTTTCTTTTGTGAGTAGTTGAAAATTTTGCATGGGACGAGAGAAATCTTTTGTCCAAGACTATGAGCGATATATGTTTGTCAGTGGCATTAGGATGTAATGTCTGTTCTCAAGGAGTACAGGTTTACACAATTTGTTCAATATTGAAGTTTCTTTATTTTCGACGTAGTATAAGTTATTACTTTTTTATGGAAATTCAAAATTTTCCAATAGACGAATTTTGGCAATTGTAAAGAGTCAAGAAGCTTTACATCAGCACTTGAACGTTTGGAACTGGAGGCGGAAATTGAATCCAGAAATGATACGATACCGCTTCGTCGAACAAGCGATGTGCAAACTGAACCACCCGATGATATTGACCAAGAATTGTTCGGTTTAAATGCTAAAGATATGTTGCCCTATAAGAAATCTGTTCAACATTCTGATATTTTGAATTTTCAAGTATGATTTATAAATTTTGATATATAACACCAAAAAATATATCATTTATAAAATTGTGTATTTTAGGGTGTCATGCATTCACCAGAAGATATTGCTCGTTACTGGAAAAAAGACTCGCGAATGTGGCTTTGGAAATCTGTAAAGCTCATGCGAAGAAGGAACAAATTAAAATCATCTAACATATGTTCAGTAAATAAAGAAAACGAAGAAGAGCAATAATCTGAATATCATCTATAATTTTAGATGTAAAGCGCTTTGCATTTATAATGCTGTTTTATCGTTGATGCCGCTATTTAAATCAATTATACTTTTTGATAAGTGTATGTATCATTGAAGAATAACTTTGTAAATAAAATACTTTAGTTTTCATACTATATAATCTATGTCACTTTTTGATTCTATTATAGCAATTTATATGTAATAAAAAAAATAACAATTTAAGTATTTTACTCATATCATAATAATAGATAAGCATAAAGTTTATGCTATCTTTTAAAAACGTAATCATGGTTTTTTCGAAATATGTACAGAATGTATGAAAATACATAGATCTATTAAACGAATTCCAATCGTTTTAACCGCAAGTTTCTATGGAATTCAATTCTTGTTTGTCTTCGAGTGTCTCACCCATTTCAAAGCGTACAAAGTCTAAAATTTCAATCTGCTCATTTTGCAATAACTGCTGTATAGATATAGCAGGATTAAATAAAAATTCTTGATACAGCATAACAGGTTCGTCATCTACATTATCAAGAGGCTGATCCACCGTTGCATCGCCAATTTTAGTTGGGTTCATGCCTAATATTGAAACAAATATTACTACAAACCTATACTTATATATAAAGAAATAATATAGTAGATTAACTAAAAGATAAATATAAGTACCAATAACATGCTGACAAAGTTGTGTTCCCAAAACTTTTTTCTGTTTATCAGATTTTAAAGCCACGAATGCTCCATATCGTCCAAATGATGAAGATACTGGATTTACAGGAGTAGGATGTATGCAACCATATAGATATACACCTGGTTGTACACTCATACATAATGCACGCCTTATATTAATGTTTTCTCCTACAAGTCCAATAGTTAAAGCAGAATGATCACTTAAATTTTTACCATCATCTGCATATAATTTATTTATTGCTTCTGTACATAACATAGTTTTCTTAATTAATGAATCCTGTTCGATTGTCATTCCATGTTTTAATACAGCAGTAAGTACGGTCTTTGTTAGGTCACAGAACTTCCCATTTCTTGCAACAAAATCTGTTTCACAATTAATTTCTACAAGAGCTCCATGATTATTATTGATGATCATTGCTATTAATCCTTGAGAAGTTTTCCTGGATTTTAATTTTATTGCTTCAGACCAGCCTTGAGCCTGAGCCTGTTCTCTTAACCATTGTTCAGCCTACAATATTTTAAAAAGTAATGATGTTCTTACATAGCTTAATGCTTGACTTACTTTTACTATGTCATTGTTACTTAGCTCTAAGGCTTTTTTACAGTTTATAAATGTATATCCAGTTTTCTTGCGCAATTTGCTTAACAATGTCTTATTTGATGTGTAGCAAGGTACATAATTTGTATGTATTGAACGAAAAAGTTGACGTAGAATCATCTGAAACATGTCACTTACGTTATTTCACATAAAAAAAGATTGAAAAAATATTACATTAGTGAGACTTAACCTAAAAATATCAACTGTATTTTGAATCATATTCTACTTTAATATGACAATTGTAATCAAATGACCTTAAAATAATATTTTCATTCGAAATTTTTTATAAATTCTATACAAATCGATCAATTTCGTTGCCTAGAAACTACAGTCAATTGCAGCCATAAGAGTTGTTCTATTCGTAACTTAATGACATTAAATATACAGAAAGAGATTTTTTACGCATTATACCGTAAAGTATTATACAGTGATATTATTCTTTGAATTTCTAATTTCGAGAAAATATTATGTTGCAATATACTTACCGTGGACACAGCTTAAAGATAAAAATGTAGTCTAGCTACTAAAACAGAGTCCGAAAGTGGCGCCGTCTGTGCCGATGCAAAATTCAATCGCAAGGTAGCAATAGACATCAATTTTCTGAATTATATTTCATTATGTAATTTCTAATTTCGTTTTATTAAAATTTCAAGATATATATTCACTATACAGATATATCTGGAGTTGTATTTTAAGTATAGGATATCTTTGATATTTTGATCTCTAATAACAAGTAATTTCAACATGGAATGTGACTGTGAGGAAATGACATCATGTGAGGGTATTACGCGTCCGACGGTTCAAAAAATACGCGCCAAAGATGTTCCAAAGATGTTAAAAGTAGTTGAAACGAAAATTGAGCCATTATTTTCGTTGCCACCAGAATTAATGAAATGTATCAAATGTACAAGAAGAGAAGAGAAGCGAAAGCAACGTAAATTCGGTGTCACGTATACAGGGAAACGATTAAAAGTAGAAAATTTCCGCAGGTCAGCAAAACATTTGAACTTTTATTAAATTTTTTAGAATTGTAAAAGAAAATTTTATAGCAAGGAAATCGAACTAGAGCTTAAAATAACGTTTACTTATAGATACATGGTTAGTTTAATCACCAAACCTGAATTACCGAATGTAGATATAGATTTAAATAATGACGAAGACGTAAACCGATATTACAATTACATTTGCAATGGGGTTGATACTGTTCACACAGTACAAATTCAGGATGTCGTTATAGAGAAGATATTACTTTTAGTCCCGTACCATTTGAGAGATCGATTTGCTTATTACACAGAAAGCTTGCTAATCGAGATCAAAGATACTTATACAAGAAATATTAAAAAAGCAATACTGCAGTACGCGCTTCAAGTTCCTGTACAAAAGTATTTGTTGAAGGTTCAATTGAAATTTCAATTCTGTTTGCTATACTATATTTTATATATGCATTGTAATTTTCCATTTTCTAAAAATATGCATTTCTTTAGCAGAAAGACAATGATAAAAAGTCGCTTTACATGAGATATATCGTACCTGGATCGACAGTTAAGATTCGAGAATACCGCGACAATTTACAGAACAATTTATTTCTAATAAATCCATGCATGAGGATGTCCTTAGACCATTGGGTTGGCGAATTTCGGTAAAAGATCGGTCATTTATTACATTTTCATTTTGAAACACTAATTGATTATTTTCCAGAGACTTTCGATTGATCGATGTAAAGCAAATTGCACAATCTAAAGAAAGTTGGGACTTGATGCGATTTAACAAGATGATTAATAAACAAATGATTAAAGCGAGAAATATGTTGAAGAATTTTTGGTACGATGGAATACAGAATATCTTCCTTGAGGTAAAATTTCACGAATTCTTACTGTAAATTCTATTCTATTCTATTTTAACAAAATTGGCGTTCATTCGTTTATCCATAGAATAATAGAAAATCATTAGTTCCGAGTATGCTGCAACGAATACGATTCAAAAGATTCTACGAATGCGCTGCCAAGATAATGGAATCGCAGCTTTTGTCAATGTGTAAATACAGTTTGAAAGATTTTATGGACTTAATCATTCATGGCAAGGTGGATTATTTAATTCTTATCGTTAGATTATGGATGTTTATGCAAATTTATATCTTATAAACATAGCTAAAGAAATGGAATTAAAATACAAAATTGAATACTGCATCCTCGCTCTACTTGCAATAAAACGAATCACGTAATAATTATTCGTTATTTGCAGCCGATTAATTGCATGTTTAATGTGGACATAATTATCGCCTCTAAGCAGCTGGCTTTCGATCCATCCTTCGAAAAATTTAAAGAAATCCTTTGCAGTATCCTGGATGAGCTATGTGAAGCAGTTAGAAATTTCGAAAAATTAGAAACTCAGCTTTATTTAGATTGGTCTGGCGAACAAGGTTTTTTAAAAGTATAAATTTCCCTTTATAACATTTTTATCATATATCTAATGTACGTGAATACGTACATATAAATTTAAAAATGCTTTCTAGCCACATATAGAGGAATCCAGAGTGCAAAAACTGAAGCAGGAAATCATTGACTTAGTCGATCGAGAAAAGCTTATTCCAGAACAGCTATTAATGGAATTAAAAATGTAATTATAAATCATTGATACTCATTGCAAATTCTAATTTTCATCTTTATTATATATTAACTTCTGTTATATTAATATATATATATATATATAACTGTATATTAATTTCTGTTTATATAATATCTGATTATCCTGACCGATCGCTTCAATTAATCATGTGTTATTTGCTTTACTGTCTGTACCATTTATTTCTGTCTTCTATACTGGTGTACACAATGGTCACTGTCCGTTAATTTGTATTACTGTTAATAATATTTATTATTATATATTCGTATCCTTATTACAGATATGAATATTTATACAATGATGACGAGTATTATAAAGTGGAACGATTTACAAGAGACGAGAGCAAAAAATTAGAGGATTACAACGAACCAATAAAACATTACCATAATCTCATGATGAACTTTCCTGTCGAAATTGAAAGGACAGCTTTCACTGGATTGTTCAAGGTATCTCGAAAAATATTCATCGAGACAATCGTCGACAACACTTGTCGAATAAAATGTCTTCTCATCGATACGCTCGTCGAGAGGTATCAAGATATGGCCAGGAAGTGAGTCTCAAATTACTTTAACCAACAACGATGAATCTATTCGCACTTCCACGATAAAACAATGGCAAACCCGGTTTAGTGTTACAGAACGATATCAAAGTATATCTGAACGTGCCCTGAGCACGCCCGCCAACACAATCGAACTTGTAGAGCTTAAAAACTTCATTAAGGTAAACAGAGAAGTTACTTTTAAGATTTTGGAGCAGAACCTCTACCAAATAATCGAACATATCTCCTTGTTGGCCGATTATCGTCTTCTAACTGACATCGAGATAATCACAAATAACGAAGCTTTTCAATGGTACCACAAGGTACCACAAATTTTGGAAGAGAACGAAAGCATCGTTGCGATTAAGACGCTGGAGTTTCAGCACGCATTAAAAGGTGCTAATATCTTCTTCAAATTGGTCAAGTAACTTGACTAATAAGAAGAGAAAAAACGTGTTCGAGGAAATTGACAATTATTGAAATTGTTTCTTGTTTCAACAGTTAGGTATCTTAGGTTCGAGGAGGAATTGGAGTCTTACGCGAAACAGGTGGACGAGATTCAACATTGGGGAGATATAGGAGAAGTGTACAAATATCAGAGAAGGGCACAGACTTTAGAGAACCGACTGATCGCCGCCATGGAGAAGATCGATAAGTTTAACGAAGAAGAAGCATCGTTTGGCTGGGACATAACGCAATATCCACGTCGTAAACAGATCGCTGATCAACTGAAGCCCTTCAAACTACTCTTTGACGCAATTTGTGACTTTTTGACGAAGCAGGATAAGTGGTTAAACTCAATGATCGGTTCTTATAATCCGGAGGACATCGATAACGACGTAGGATACGCGTTCAGGTCGATATATTTGTTATGCAATCGTTATAATATTATCTACTTGTTAGAATATTTAGTGATCGAAACAAATTGACTTTCCTTAGCCTCTGTTTCTATATTCATGTTTGTGAATGTTCGGATAGCTTATTATAATTAGAATTCAAGTTATTCTCCTATATTCCTTAAGAATTATTTAGCAATAAAGATAAAACGTATATTCTTCCGACGAGTAATGGTTAATGAAAACTATTTGCACGAACAGAACCATCTATAAGCTGGAGAGAAGTTTTCAAGAGCCAGCTTTGAGGCAGCTAGCAGCCAGTGTCCGGGAAAAAATCGAGGACTTCAGGGAATACATGCCGATCGTTTTTACGCTTGGTAATCCAGGATTAAAGGATCGCCATTGGGAGCAAATTTCGGAGATCATAAACATTCCGATAAAAGTCGATCCCGATTTAACATTGGCGAAGATTCTGGACATGAATTTAGGCATATACGTCAGCCAGTTCGAGAGCATCTCGGACAACGCGTCGAAGGAAGCAACCTTGGAAAGAGCCATGGATAAGATGGAGAAGGATTGGGCCGATTTATACTTTACGGTGAACCCTTTCAAGGATACTGGTACCTACGTCATCGCTGGTGTCGATGATATACAACTTCTTTTAGACGATCACATCATTAGGACAGTTACTATCAAGAATTCGCCGAACATAAAACCCTTTGAAGCAAGGATACTGTAAGAAAATTAATGAAAATCGATGCTAGAACTATTATAGTATAGTAGTATTCATGATATACAAAATATTAGATAGATCCAAGGGGGTTCTGTTGGTTTTACAAAAAAAACAAAAATGTAACAAGTGTTTTTAACGTTTTCATTCACTTTTCGTGTGTCTACCTATTTCTCAACTGACTAATACCTGTTGTAAAAAGTTTTTGGCTCTTACAGCCTATGAAACATAGATCGTCAACAGTTTTTAACATCTTGTTACGGATAATTGGAGTGTAAAATATTTTTACGAGCTATTACTTTTCCAAGCGATACTAGATATTGCGAGTATGATCGGAATTTAACGACCTAACGCTACAAAACAGGAGATGGGAGTACAAACTTCATTTGCTGCAAGATATTCTGGACCAATGGCTACGCGTGCAGGCGATCTGGATGTACCTGGAGCCGATCTTCACATCGCCGGATATACAGCAACAGATGCCAGAGGAAGGAAGAAAATTTTCCGCGGTGGATAAAACTTGGCGTGACATTATGAAGACCGTCCACGCGGATCCTCGCGTTTTCGTTGTCGTCGAAATCGATAAAATGTTGGAGCGGCTAAAGAAGAGCTACGGATTACTAGAAGACATCCAAAAGGGTCTGAATGATTACCTCGAAAGAAAACGACTCTTCTTCCCGAGATTCTTTTTCCTGTCTAACGACGAGTTGCTGGAAATTCTCTCTGAAACTAAGGATCCGACTCGGTAATAAAAATTGCTATTAACTCGATTCCGAAAAATTAATCAACTATACACGATCGTGTTATTGTTGAAATAAGATATTTTGAAATATTTATAACGATTTGTTTCAGGGTTCAGCCACATCTAAAGAAATGTTTCGAGGGAATACATAGATTACATTTTAACGAGGACCTCGAAGTGGTCGCTATGGTATCGACAGAGGACGAAGAGGTTCGACTGATAGAGACGATATCCACAGCTGCTGCCAGAGGACAAGTAGAGAAATGGTTGATCGAATTGGAAACGGTTATGCGAAAAAGTATACGAAATGAGGTGCTGCTAGCGATCCAGGCGTATCCTACTAAATCGAGGAAGGTCTGGGTGCTGGAATGGCCAGGGCAAACGATTCTTTGCGTTGGTAAAACATACTGGACTCTACGTATAGAGGAATCGATGCCGTACGGTGTTCAAGGGATGAAGAGATACTTGGATCAATGTCAGGCAGAACTGAACGACATTATATCGTTAATCAGAGGCAAACTTTCGAAACAGAATCGCATCACTTTTGGTGATTATTCATAAGTTATACTTCTCAGTATAATTTTCTTAGTACAAAATGTAATACATAGATTTACAATTGTAGAAGCTTTAGTTACGCTGGATGTCCATGGGAAAGACGTGCTTGCGTCGCTTCACCAGGAGGAAGTGATCAAGAACACCGATTTCAAATGGTTGTGTCACTTGCGTTACTATTGGCTGGTCAGGCTAACTTCCTACAAATTAAAGAAAGATCTTTTAATAGTAAGATTATTATTAAAAATATTTATTTCAGGAAGAAAACATGTGGGCTTACATGATAAACTCACAGCAACGTTATGGTTATGAGTACCTTGGCAATTCTTCAAGATTAGTAATCACTCCCTTAACGGATAGATGTTATCGAACTCTATTCGGCGCTTTGAGCCTTCATCTAGGCGGTGCACCAGAGGGACCCGCCGGAACTGGTAAAACAGAGACGACGAAAGATCTTGCTAAAGCAGTAGCAAAACAGTGCGTCGTCTTTAATTGTTCCGAAGGCCTCGATTATCTCGCATTAGGAAAATTCTTTAAAGGACTGGCTTCTTGTGGCGCCTGGTCTTGTTTTGACGAATTCAATCGAATCGATCTGGAAGTGTTATCAGTAGTAGCGCAACAAATTTTAACGATTCAACGAGCGATAAACAGCGGCGCTGAGAAGATCGTATTCGAAGGCACGGAGATCTTTTTAGATCCAACGTGCGCCATTTTTATCACGATGAATCCGGGTTACGCGGGGAGATCAGAGTTGCCGGACAATCTAAAGGCATTGTTCCGTCCCGTGGCCATGATGGTGCCGGATTACGCGCTGATCGCCGAGAACACGCTATACTCCTATGGCTTTTATAACGGTAGACCTCTAGCTGTAAAAATCGTCACAGCTTACAGACTTTGCTCCGAGCAGTTGAGTAGTCAGCATCATTACGATTATGGTATGAGGGCAGTGAAATCTGTCCTAGTTGCAGCTGGCAACTTAAAGCTCAGGTACGAGAATCGAATGTGACGATTACTTTTAAAACTTTTGCGAGAAATTTCATTAAGAAAAATTCCGTCATAATTGATTTCCCGTAATCAAAGAAAATTTCGATCATTTATAATGGTTATTCGTGTCCCAAAATCATTTAAGATAAGATACTAATTCTTACACTATAACTTCTCTAATTCGGATTATAATTATTATGATTCTTGATCAGGTATCCTGACGAGTCTGAAGACATCCTCATGTTAAGAAGCATATTGGATGTTAACTTGCCAAAATTTTTGGTTCACGATCTGCCTCTTTTCGAGGGCATCGCTTCAGATTTGTTTCCCGGAGTTGTTCTTCCACCGCCAGATTATACTCACCTAAACGCGTGTACGATGGATGCATGTACCGCTGCTAATATTCAGTGTACTGATTTCTTTTTGGAGAAGATACAGCAGATCTATGAGATGATGATCGTCAGACACGGTTTCATGATCGTTGGTCTACCATTTGGAGGGAAAACCTCGGCTTATAGAATATTGGCCGATTGTCTTGGTTTGTTAGAGGAACGGAAGCTGATGGACGAACACCGGGTGGAGATAACCGTTATCAATCCAAAGGCGATCACCATGGGTCAATTATACGGTCAGTTCGACCCGGCCTCGCACGAATGGAGCGACGGCGTGCTCGCTGTCAGTTACAGAGCTTTCGCGACTTCCACCAACCTGAATAGGAAATGGTTGGTCTTCGATGGGCCGGTCGACGCCCTGTGGATCGAGAACATGAATACTGTCCTGGATGACAATAAAAAGCTCTGCCTGACCTCCGGGGAAATTATCCAGCTAGCGCCCACCACGAACTTAATTTTTGAGCCTATGGACTTGGAGGTAGCCTACTGAAATTTACCCTGTCCTCTTTACATAAAGTGTTTCATATATTTCTTTTGTAAGCCATAATATTTATGAGCGGTAGTGTATGATATTTATAGAGCGAAACAAATTTCTATTTAGACTCTACTTTTCTAGCTTCGTTCATAAAAATTTAGATTGGAACGAAAGCTCATAGTCTAATTATTACGATCGATATAGGTCGCGTCACCTGCCACAGTGTCAAGATGCGGTATGATTTACATGGAACCAGTTAGTTTAGGTTGGAAACCAATTTTGCTCTCGTGGTTGAACACTTTACCATTGTCTTTCACGGAGCATCTTAAAAACCATTTGCACGAGATGTACATGAGGTTTTGTCCTCCACTCCTGCATCTGCTTCGTTGGGGAGTCAAGGTTCGAAAGATGTCACTTATAAATCAATTAAAGTAAACTTGCCAATTTGCTAATATTATCAATTAACAAAGTATCGTGTAAGGAGGCCCTGGTATTATTCTTATTTTCACGTGTTTTTAATTTTACCTTCAGGAATTAATAACAATGCAAGACGCTAATATGGTTAGGTCTGTGACATACTTATTCGATTGTTTTCTCGACGAGTACCACGACGAGAAGTACCTCCAAACTCTAACAGATCTAGATTTAAGGGCACAAGTGGAGGTACATAAATACTTACATTGTCAAGCCTTTTCTATCGAAGAAAGAGAAACTGACGAGTGTTAAGGGTGTTTCAGGGTTGCTTCTTCTTTTCTTGTATCTGGGCGTTGGGCGGCACGTTGATGGTGGACTCCCGTGAATGCTTCAGCGATCTCTTTAGAGCATTAACAGAGAGGGAATTCCCCGCCGATGTCAGAGAACGTTTCAATGTTTCCGAAGAAACTACCGATCCATCCAAACCATACGTAGTAAATTTACCAATGACAGGTTTGGTGTTCGATTATAAATACATCAAAGAAGGTAGAGGCAAATGGAGACCTTGGATGGATGATCTAAAAGACGTTCCAGTAATACCAAAAGACATACCAATGAATCAGATAATCGTCCCCACGATCGAAACTGTTCGTTACTTTCATCTGTTTAAACTGTTAATTTGTCATCAAAAACCTATCCTTTTGGTCGGTCCGACGGGTACCGGGAAGTCAGTGTACATCATGGAGTTCTTATTGAAGAAGAACGACCCAGAAATTTTCAAACCTCTTTTCGTAATATTCTCCGCGCAGACTACTGCCAATCAAACCCAAGAGATCATCATGAACAAATTGGACAGACGAAAGAAGGGACTATATGGAGCTCCCCCAGGAAAGTATTGGGTTGTATTCGTGGACGATATCTCCATGCCACAGAAGGAAGAGTACGGAGCACAGCCGCCTATAGAGTTGTTGAGGCAATGGCTGGACCATTGGACGTGGTACGATTTGAAGGAAGTGACGCCTATACAACTGGTGGACGTTCAGCTGGTTTGCGCGATGGGTCCTCCATCCAGCGGATTGGACGTCACGCTACGGTTCAAGAGACACTTCTTTACCCTAGGAATTTCCGAATTCTCTGATGACGTTCTCAATACCATCTTCTCCACCATCGTGACATGGCACTTTACGAATAAGGAATTTCCGGACTATTACTTTCCTAGTGTCGACTACATCGTGAGCGGAACCTTAGATGTTTATAAAGAAACTAGAGTGTTTCTTCTACCGACACCGGCCAAATGCCATTACTTGTTCAACTTACGAGATTTTTCCAGAGTGATTCAAGGAGTGCTACTGTGTACGCCTGAAAGTGTCACTAAACCTGTAAGTATTTATTTGCAGATAAATTTCTGTTTTATTCTATGATACGTTGTAGGGTTACGAAGAACAATCTTAAGCTTTTAAATTCTAATGACATAATCTGTATGACTATTCATAGTCTTGCGTGTCTTCTACTGACCTTGGAAGCTCGATATTCTAATGATATTAGCATGGTTACACGTTTGCATTAGCGTTAAGATGACCCTAAAGATCCCTGTTTTTATAACGTAAAACAAACTCAACTTTTTCAACAGCTTACGATCTTAAATGGAATTAGAGATAAATTTCTTTGTGTTTTGTTATTAACGTAATGATAACATAATGCTCCAAATAAATATATCCAATTTTGACGGTTATTATTCATAAATATGTATGAGAACTACATAATATTTCCTGACCGACATAATGTTTTAAGGCGAGTTTAAAGCGTCTCTGGGTACACGAAGTGTTGCGCGTTTATGGTGATCGGTTGGTAGACGACCATGATATTAAGTGGCTCGTCGAGCAGATACGAAGGACCATGTTAGAATATATGGATGACAATCTGGACCACCTGTTTCAAGATTTACTTACTGCTAGATCTGGCACAGTACGTTTTCTTCTAATACGCAAGGTTTTTATATATCACCGTCTCCATAATCTTCTTTAATCGTAATTAGGTGACAGAAGTAGAGCTTCGAAATCTGATTTATTGTGACTTCTACGATATATTGGCGGATAAAAAGCTATATTCCGAAGTGGAGGATTTAGACCACTTGGCAATCGTAGCTGAAGAATATCTTGCTGAATATAATTCCATTTCGAGGACACCGATGAATCTCGTTCTTTTCAGGTTTTACTCGGTTGCGTATATTTTAAGTAAAAAACGATGAAAATTGAGGAGCTTTCTGAAAAAATGGTTTATAGGTCTAGTAATATTTATCATAGAAATAGATTATCACCTATTTCGTTCACTGTTATATTTTTTAAAACTAAATAACGTCAAATCATAATTCCCTTAGTTCACCATTTTCTCTTATAGATCCTTTTTCCAGATATCCCCGCAATTTTTCTATTTTATTATGCCCTCTAGATTCGCCGTAGAACATCTATCAAAGATCTGTCGCATAATGATGCAGCCTCGAAGTCACGCGTTATTAATCGGAGTGGGCGGTTCGGGGCGCCAATCGTTAACGAAATTAGCAGCTCACATCTCAGATTACGAATTGTTTCAAGTGGAAATGTCTCAACAGTATGGTCTATACGAATGGCACGAAGACGTAAAAGACATTCTAAAAAAGAGCGCAGCCAGCGATCTTCACACAGCTTTCCTGTTTTTGGATACACAAATTAAAGAAGAGACTTTTCTGGAAGACATTAGCAATCTTTTAAATTCCGGAGAGGTTCCTAATATATTTGCACCTGATGAAATATCCGATATTTGCGAGAAGATGCGAGTTATCGATCGTCAGAGAGACAGATCCTTGCAGACAGACGGCAGCCCCGTCGCTTTGTTTAATTTCTTCGTACAAACTGTTCGCGAACACTTGCATATCGTGGTCACCATGTCGCCTATTGGTGACAATTTTCGTATCAGAATTCGAAAATTTCCGGCATTGGTGAATTGTTGCACGATAGATTGGCTGCAACCTTGGCCCGAGGACGCATTGCTCGCTGTGGCGACTAAATTCTTGGGCGAAATCGATCTAACGGAGAAGGAACGTGACGCCTGCATCGAGATGTGCCAATTCTTTCATATGTCCACGCAGGAGTTGACAAAGGAGTTCCTGAGGAAGTCAAAGAGGTACAATTACGTTACGCCTACCTCGTACCTGGAGCTCATCAACACTTTCAAGGACCTGCTCGCAAAAAAGAGGAAGGAAGCGCTCGATGGGAAAAAAAGGTACGAAGCTGGCTTGGAAAAGTTGGACAGTACTCACAGGCAAGTGGAGAAGATGCAAGAGATTTTAGTCGCGTTGCAACCGAAGCTCCTTGTCGCCGCTAAGGACGTGGAGGCCACGTTTCTCGACGTTCAAAGGGAAAGCGAGGAGGTAGCTGCCATGGAGCAAGTCGTCAAGAGGGACGAAGAGGCTGCCATGGTAAGGTGTTGCCGGCTTAAAGATCACAGTCACTCGATTTTATTTAGGAAACTTCCGCCCTGTAAAGGCCACTCCACCTTTGTTCACGGTTTCTAATTACTCCCTCTCGAATTCCTTCCGTTACGCATCTTTGCGTTATGCTGATATTAGTGAGACCTTGGGGTATGAAAATACTAGAGAATAAAGTAAATGTGCGTCCTTACTGATAATTGCGAGTAGTTTGAAGTATGTTTGTCATTTATTCGCATATAATTCGAGAAATCTTCATATCTTTTAAATTTGAAATATTAGGACACAAATGTTAATTCCAGCGATGTTATTTAAGTAGTTTTCGCTCTGTAAAAAGGATTTCATGCTTTCTACGGTTTCTAATAACTTTTGCTGAAATTGCTTCCACAACGTATGCTTGCGCTCTGTTAATATTAATGAGATTTTGAAACACGAAAATCGTAGAGCTCGTAACAAAAATGACTTTCGTCCGGTATGTCGGACGCATGGAACTCGGTACGTGTACGTAAATTCCTTTGTAGCATTTTTTAAAAGTAGAATATTCGAATTTCTAGGTCGTCGCGAACGAAGCGAGCGCCATTCGCGCAGAATGCGACGCCGATCTGCAAGAAGTGATGCCGATATTAAACGCGGCGAACGATGCCTTGAACACTCTGACTCCTCAGGATATTCAAATCGTGCGATCCATGAAACGACCGCCAGCCGGTGTTCGATTGGTGATGGAAGCAGTTTGCATTTTAAAGGTTCGATCTTCAACTTCAAACTAAACTCAATCTGCACAAAGATGTACTTATTCAAAGCCTGCTTATCAAAAGAATAAAAACATGATCCATACAAATTCTATCCTATTAGGACGTGAAACCGGAGAAGGTTAAGACTCCAGATGGAGTTATAGATGATTATTGGAGGCCATCTCTTCGCATATTGAGCGACATGAAATTCCTCGAATCCTTATTAACGTTCGATAAGGACAACATTCCAGAAAGGATCATGACGAAGATCCGCACCACTATCTTAACAAATCCAAACTTCGATCCAGAACGGATCAGACAAGTTTCTACCGCCTGTGAAGGTCTCTGTAGATGGGTCTTCGCTCTGTCAGAGTACGACAAGGTGGCGAAGATCGTGGCGCCGAAGAAGCAAGCGCTGGCCTTGGCGGAGGCCGACTACAATGAGGCCATGAGGCAATTGAACTTGAAGAGAAGTCAGCTCCAAGAAGTGCGTGACAGATTGGCGAAGCTGGAGGAGCTGTTGGCTGAACGAAGAGCGGAGTATCAGGCGATGACGGACGAAGTGAACGAGTGCGAGGCAAGATTAAGGAGAGCCAGGGAGTTGATTGGCGGCTTAGGGGGAGAGTACACCAGATGGTCCGATACTGCGAAGGAACTGGGCGAGCGTTATTACAAGCTGACGGGAGACATTCTCATCGGCTCCGGGATCGTGGCCTATTTAGGAGTGTTCACCACTCAGTATAGACAGCAACAAATCGACAACTGGGTGCAGATTTGCACCGATTTGGAAGTAATTTGTACGAAGGACTATCAGCTTACTCAGATTCTAGGTGATCCTGTGTTGATACGGTCCTGGAATATTTTTGGTTTGCCCAGTGATTTGTTCTCGGTAGATAACGCGATAATTGTTACGAATTCTCGACGATGGCCCCTGATGATCGATCCTCAGGGCCAGGCTAACAAATGGGTGAAGAATATGGAGAAGGAAAATAATATTCATGTTATTAGATTGTCGCAGAGTGATTATATGAGAGTGTTAGAAAATGCTATACAGTTTGGACAGCCAGTTTTGTTAGAGAATGTGGGCGAAGAACTTGATGCTGCATTGGAACCGCTCTTGATGAAACAAACATTTAAGTCTGGTGGCGCGGAATGTATCAAGGTTGGGGATTCTGTCATCGAATACTCTGCCAATTTTCGGTACATTTCATTCGAAATAAATAACATTTATTTATTCAAAAACAATTGCGACACTGTCTGATATATTAATTCCTATACTGTTGGGTGGAATAAATTTTACTTATCTTTTTTTTTTTTATAGATTTTACATTACAACCAAATTACGCAATCCTCACTATTTACCGGAGGTAGCAGTTAAGGTAACACTACTGAATTTCATGATCACACCGATAGGCCTTGAAGATCAGCTCCTCGGTATTGTGGTAGCCAAAGAAAGGCCAGACTTGGAGTCTGAGAAGAATCAGCTAATCGTCCAAGGAGCCGCCAACAAGAAGTACATTAACGTTTTATTACATTTCTTCAATCTTCGCCAACGACTTTGTTTCGCAGGAAACTGAAGGAGATCGAAGACGAAATTCTGGAAGTTCTGTCGACAGCAGAAGGAAATATTCTCGAGGATGAAACAGCGATTAGTGTACTTAGTTCGTCCAAGACTCTTTCTGATGAGATAGTCACGAAACAAACGGCAGCTGAGATTACGGAAAAGTCTATCGACGCTGCAAGATTGGAGTACACGCCCATAGCTGCTTACAGCACCGTTCTTTTCTTCACGATTGGTGACATACACTAAGCGTTTTACTGTATAAGTGCAATAAGGCAGATTCTATGGTTCAAAATAAGACGGAAATCGAGAAGAATAAAATTGCGTTGGAAGCTCCATTTTTGAAAAACTCGAGTTTGAACACTAGTAAAGTACAAATTTTATCACGTTCTTCACTATCAATCGTATTAAAGCGAATCGACTCGTATGATATTTCGAAGAAACTAGGTCTACTTAAAGTTTTATTTGACAAAGTATTTTACATTTACCGATGTAATATTTTGACTCGTAGAATCTCCCCGACTTCGTTTGTATGGCGAATTTAAGTCCATTGGAGTGTCCTCGCAGATTCAAAAGAAAATTGAATTAATCTTAATTGAATAAAATTTTCTCTAGCTGTCCTGGCGAATATCGATCCGATGTATCAATATTCTCTGGCCTGGTTCGTGAATCTGTTCAATAGCACAATCGACAACACGGAACGGGTCGAAGACATTCAGCAACGACTGAAGGACCTCACGAAGCACTTCACCTACTCACTTTACGTGAACATATGTCGGTCGTTGTTCGAGAAGGACAAGCTTTTATTCTCGCTACTGCTTTCGGTGAACCTGCTGAATAAGCAGGGACGACTCTCGATGCCCCAATGGATGTTTCTGTTGACCGGCGGCGTTGGCCTTGAGAATCCTTTCGCAAATCCCACGAAATGGCTACCCTCGAAATCCTGGGACGAGTTGTGTCGTTTGAATAATATTCCAGGGTTTATGGTACGATGAAATGTGGTACGGTAAGGCACCTATGTTCCAGATCTTAGTATTCCCGATTGGTCACAGTTCTAAAAAATAAATTCTTATTGTACGAGTTATATCGAACATTTTATCATGATCGATTCCTACTTCGTAGTTCGAATTCAAAGAGTGTTCGTTATACCATTACCATTGAGTATAGTTATACATTTTCGTAACTAATTCGAGTCTCTTTCGTTTAGGGATTTCAAAACGCATTCGAGACAACGCTGAATGATTGGAAAGCCATCTTTGATCATATGGAGCCTCACACTTTAACGTTTCCCGCGCCTTACGACAAGCTCAACCCTTTCGAGAGAATGATCGTGCTGCGATGTATGCGTCCTGACAAAGTTGTGCCAGCCGTCCAGCAATTTGTAGAAGGTGAAAAATCTTCATGTAAAAATACGTCGCATGGTTGCTTACATATTTGTCAAGAAGAATTCATGCACGCGATATTTTAAATATTTCGAAAAATATAATTCACGAATATTCACAACAATCGTATTTCATTACGGCGTGAACCAAAATTCAAAAAGTTTTGCATAGCGTACAACATATCCCCAAATATATAATAAATAATTCAAATATTTTCGTGACTCGCTATATATTGAAAAATAGTAATATAAACGTAGATATATTAAAATAAAGATGAAGACAGAAATAAAGAAACGGTTTGGTATTACGCTATATCGAAGCTTCGTATTAAGGCGAACGATTTTCGATTAATTCGTGGTAGAACAACTGGGACAACAGTACATCGAGCCGCCGCCCTTCGACCTGGTATCGTCGTTCGCGGATTCATATTCCTGCAGTCCCCTCATATTCGTGTTAACGCCTGGCGCCGATCCTATGGCGGTTCTACTGAAATTCGCCGACGATCAAGGTTTCGGTACAAACCGATTGTTCTCCCTCTCTTTGGGTCAAGGACAAGGAGTTATCGCCGCCCAGCTAATCGACGAGGGAGTGAAAAATGGTACCTGGGTGGTTCTGCAGAACTGTCACCTTGCCAAGAGTTTTATGCCACATTTGGAAAAGGTATTACCGAATTGTCGACAGACCATCAAGCGGCAGAATGGTATGATGGAGTAAAAAATTTGAGAGGCGAGAGAGGAAAATCTTTTTCTAGATTTGTGAAAGCTTCACACCAGGAACTGTGCATCCAGATTTCCGATTATGGCTGACAAGTTATCCAGTGGAGCATTTTCCAGTTAGCGTCCTTCAGAATGGTGTGAAAATGACCAACGAGCCACCGAAAGGACTAAGAGCAAATATAATCAGATCTTTCTTGCAGGTAATGTAAAAATCATTGTTCCGAATTTTATAAAATCTTCGGAAGCGTACAGCATTTTTAAAATCATATGTCGATACTTGATAATTTTTTCGTTCGTAAGGACCCAATATGCGATGAGGAATTTTTCGAGACTTGCAAGCAGAACGAGGCTTTCAAGAAGCTGCTTTTTTCCTTGTGCTTTTTCCACGCGATTGTTCAAGAACGTAGGAAATTTGGGCCGATCGGTTGGAATAATCAATACGAGTTCAACGAGACCGACCTACGGATCAGTGCGCTGCAATTGAGAATCTTCTTGGATCAGTACGATGACGTTCAGTTTACGGCCTTGAAATACTTAACAGGTATCGCATTAATTGTTAGACTCTGTTAAACTTGTTAATTGAGTGGTTAAACTCTTGTTCTTTTTTTCTTTTTAAAAGAACCCATCTAGGGCCAACATTGTACTAACGTAAAATACTATTTGAAATATTTCCTAATCAATGTTCATCAACGAATTGTATTCTTGAATATCGTGTACTGTTTTAGAAAATTCAATTCTCACTCAAAATTAATTTGTCTCGTAGGCGAATGTAATTATGGCGGTCGTGTGACAGACGAATGGGATAGGAGAACTTTAAATACGATTCTTGTGAAGTTTTATTGTATGGAAGTCATTGCACAGAAGGAATACCTATTCGATCCTAGTGGTATATACTATGTACCTGAAGTCAGTGATTATAACGAATTTCTTGAATATATTAGATCCTTTCCAATGGCCACTGCTCCTAGTGTCTTTGGGATGAACGACAATGCGGATATCATTAAGGATCAGCAGGAGACTGCATCGATGTTGTCTTCCTTATTGGCAACGCAGGTGAGGTTAATATTATGAAACTTGATTTTCATATGGAAATTTGTTGTCTTAATATTATATCGTGTTTCATCCTGCAGTCTATTCAGGATATTAAAGTAAGTGATATTGAAACCAAATTCATTCAATCATGTAAATAATAAATATACACTATCATTCTATTATTCATATATCTCATGCTTGCTTAGGTGAAAAAATCGAGGAAAAAGGTAATACCACTTTGTTATGCGCACTTCGATTATTCTATGAATTTTCAAAGCGAAACGTTATTAAATCTTATTAAATGTATTGATTATTAAAGCATCATTTTCTAGTATTTATCGTAAGTCTGGAGATTCGTAGTCTAGTTTATGGTGGACACGATCTGTATCAAAAATATTCGCCACTTTCGTTGCGGAAAATCTCGGTTGTTGGTATCACGGGTCGGTCGTTATCATTATCTTCGTTCATTAATTTCGAGACAATTAAGGCGTGTACGCGGTCGCCTCGGCTCGCCTCGTGTTTCACAAAATATAATAGGGTTCCTTAAATGTATTCTGCGTGACGAATCGTGCGGACGACTAACGAGACCCTGTGTTGCTCCGTCCTCCAATTAGGACACGGGAGAAACGGAAACAGACGTAGGAAAATCACCCGACGAGATCGTCTACGGTGTAGCGTCTGATATTCTGTCAAAGTTGCCCGACGACTTCGATCTGGTGGATGCACTCGAGAAATATCCGACGTTATATAATCAAAGCATGAACACGGTGCTAGTCCAGGAAATGGGAAGATTCAACAAGCTTCTGCAAACGATCAGGAATAGCCTCATAAATGTTCAGAAGGCGATCAAAGGTAAACGGCTAAGCTTGTGACGGCCAGCCGGTGTCTATCGATTTTTCACGGCTTCGTGAACTTAATCTAAGGTCTGGTGATCATGAACCCGGACCTCGAGGAGGTCTACGTATCGATAATTACTGGAAAGATATCGAAGATTTGGATGAGGAACTCTTATCCGTCGTTGAAGCCGCTAGGCAGTTATATACAGGATTTCTTGAAGAGGCTCGCTTTTCTTCAGGTATCTGCACGTATATACCGCGCGAAAGATCTTCGGCTATCTATCATAGCGATCTCATAATGGGAAATGTAATTAGGTACATATTTTTAGGAAACATTTTCACGCGATGTTCGAAATTTTATAAATCTTTGAATATTCTTTCCAAGGCGCTATTTATCTGTGCTATTTTGCTTTATAAATTGTTCCATTTGATAGATAATCTGAGATTCTAGCAAAATACTATAGAATGACTTGAGAAGATATTTGGTCACTCGCTATACTAAATTTCTTTCAATATATTACATGTGTTGTATTAAACTTCATGTAACTTTATTAGCGATGCAACGAGACATCACTTTCACCATTATGTTGTTAAAGTTCGAAACAAATTCGAAAATATAGTCATATATTAATATATATCCAATCTCAAAAGTTCTTTTTATAGTAAGTGCTGAAATATTTCTATACTTCTTTATGAAACTCTAGATTGAAGATATTTTAGCAAGAAGAAGTTTTCGTTTTAGGATATCAATAGTGATTCGATGGAAATAATACTTTCTATGTTATTTGTTTTTCGCTGCAGTTGTGGTACGATGAAGGACCACCGACATCCTTCTGGATCTCTGGTTTCTACTTCACACAGGCGTTTCTCACCGGCGCACAACAGAACTACGCGAGGAAATATTCAATACCGATAGATTTGCTCGTCTACGACTTTGTCCCTTTGAAGGATACTGTTTTCCCTGAACCACCAACCGATGGTGTTTACATTTACGGTCTATTCCTCGATGGAGCTCGTTTCAACACGAGCACGATGAAACTTGACGAATCACTGCCGAAAATTTTGTACGACGTCGTTCCCTACGTAAGTACGTTTTCTTACTTTTGACTTATTCATACTCGGATGTCTCTAAAATCAAACCAAAAAGAAAACAATTTTGCTTTTTCTTTGATATCTTATCGATATGCTAATTACTATCTATCTCCTATATTGAAAAAGTCTGCGAAAGCAAATAAAAGAAACGATTCATTTACTTTCAGATTTTTCTATCTGTTTGTTTTTCTTCAAAATCTCATTCTCTTGTTTCCTGTATTTTCTTCGCCAAGCAAGCGTACAATCGAATTCGTCCTACAATCTGTCGCGTTCGTTCCGACAGATTTGGCTGATACCAATGAAAAAGGAGGACGTGGAGCAAAGATACACATATACCTGTCCGGTGTACAAAACCACGGAGAGAAAAGGTGTTCTGTCGACAACCGGCCACTCGACGAACTTCGTAATCGCCATATGGCTCCCGACGGACCATCCACCGGAGCATTGGATTCTGCGTGGCGTAGCCATGATCTGCCAATTGTCCGATTAAACCTATCGTCCCATTGGAATAACGATTATACTATCTTCCGTTTATGTATCACGCAGCCGTATATCTCGTCGCCTATCGGCATACTTGTCCTTATCGATGATATAATTGAATTTGGTGTTCAATTCCGACGAAGCGATCAGAAGCATCGTACGTTAATTCGATTCTCGAAGAGAGCCCGTCGATCGAGCCGTTTTCTCGCTTATCGTCCTCCTTATCGCGATAAAAATAGTCGGATCGAAGGCAGAAACTTTATTCAACGTTGTTCATTTTATCGCTTTATCGATCACCGTCGGAAACAATCGGTCCACCTTTCGATATTTCGTCGTCTGGCACGTTGTTCATGGCGGAAACTAGCGGACGTTCTTAAAATCCGCAATCAAAATCCGAGCTGTTTTTCCCAGTGGAGTGTCGTTTTGGGAACATTCCGCACGTAAGCGAGGCACTACAACAGGTGGCGATACATCCGGGTCACAGGCTCTCCACTTCGTCTCTTGCCTGCCGATCAATCGACCGTTCAACATCTTTGTAAAAATCTTCAAACGAATTTTAAAAAGTCAATCGCTTGACGCAGACCAGACGAGGGGACCTACGGTAACGTGACGTAAAAAAAGCACAGGAAAGGAGTGCAAAAAAGGGAAGAGAAAAAATCAAGCGAAGAAGGAAATCGGTCTGGACACAGGTGAAACAAGGTAGAGATATAACAAGGCTGATTTTCGATATACAGTTCGACAAACCGGCGAGAACGTATCCGCCGCAAAATCGAGATTCCTATGCAAACGGCTATCGTAAATATTGCAAGCGGTATCAAGAGCCTCGCAGAGCCAGGTGCAGGAGAGATTTCGAAGGCAGCGTACGTCCGCAGGAGATAGCAGGGTTGGTGACGGCGAGGAAAAGCAGTAGAGCCGGCTACAGGGCGGAGAAACATATAGAGAGAAACATAAAGAGACAGATAGAGAGAAAGGGAAAGAGAGAGGATGAAAAACAGTAGGATGAGGAGTAACCAGAAGGGTGGGAAGAGAGAGGCGAGCACACGGGGTATATTCAGAGAGCAACGGGAGGCAGGTCGGTTCGGGGGGTGGCTAGTGGGTGGCTTCAGGGGTTGGTGGCGGCACCCTGTCTACCCGGACTGAGATCGCCGGAGGCTCGTTGCCTAGCGACCTCGTATTGATCTCTCCCCGTATCTCGGCTTTTCCCCTTTCCCACGTGATTCTCTCCTCCCCCTTTCGCTTCTCTCTCCTATACTTCCCCTCGCCGTTTGCCTAACCCTCTCTTCGCGCGGATCCCTTCATCGCGTTCCTGTCTTCGTTTCTTTTCCTCTCTCCTTCCCTCGGCTCCTTTTTTGTCCTCTCTGTATCCCTCCGGTCTCCTTTTCCTTCCTGCTCGGGCTCAACTTTTTTCTCCTTTTTCTCCTTTCTTTCCTTCTTTCTTTTTCTCCACCGGTTTCTTCTTCGTTTCGCCTTCGTTATATAGGTTCCTTCTGTTTGCGTGTTTCGAGTGCTCTCAACTTCTCCCTGGACCACAGAGAGAGAGAGAGAGAGAGAGAGAGAGAGGGAGAGTGCGAGAGAGAGAGAGAGATAGAGAGAAAGAGAAACGATGTCGGTAGCATTGGTCGACGGTCGAGGTGACGACATTAGGATCGAATGATTATTCGATGAAAATCCACGGAATGGACCGTGTTACAGCCGGTGAATCGCGAAACTATAGGGGAAGTATTTGGAAACTTTTTCCCAAGGCCTGGTTTATATCTCCGTTAAAAAATTCCAACTAGCTCCCACCACTTTTTTCACTGAACGAAACGCTTGTTTCATTTATTCATTCTTCTTTTTTCTCCTAGCGGTAAAGCGCTGACTGGTAGAATCAACTTCACGCTGGAGTAATCCGGTGAATTATAGACGAGCATATTCGGCTTATGATTTCGCGTGCTGATTTTACGGTGCACGCGTCCCTCGCATCAGCCGGAAACGACGTCGAAATAGTCGGCCATGGAGGCGGAACGAGCATCGGGGAAACGCGGATACCGCCGATAATTTGCGTAATTTGCGGCAACGTGAAAGGACTCGGTCGAAGAAAGTTGAAGGACCCTCGAGGAGTTGGTAAACACTCCTACATAGTTGCGTTAACCATTCCCCACATTTTAGACGAGGGATTAGATTTCGAATGTTTCCAACGAAGGTGAGGGAAGAGATTGATAAATATTCATTTATCTGGATGCAACGTCGAACGAAGGCGTGGAAAGGATGTAATTAAAGCTTGCACAGCTATCGCGATGCTTCGATACCGTCCCTTGATATCGACGTCTTTCTCAACCGATGCTGATGAACCTACATTGAAATATTTAAAGCGCGTTTCATAAAAGAACCGACGTTAACTCGAAGCCGGAGTTTCGAAATATAGTAATACTTCCTTTGTACGTTTCTCTCTCTTGAAATTGTTCGTATAAGATTACTTAAAAAGGATAGTGGAAGAGGCGTGCGTATCTCTTCCGCTACGTTGCCTCGATCGAACATTTTTACACCCGGTGTAACTTTTCTCGGTGTCTAACTATCTTTGTGGGCGAATTATTTTCTCCCATCACCCTCGCCCCTCGGTCTATATACCCGTGGAACCATTTACCTCCTCTTCGTAGAATAATCAACTCCTCCTTCTCTCTTTACCAATCTAACTCCAGTTTTCTACTTCAAAGTACTCGAAAAAAGTAGCATCCCGTGTAAATTGATTCAGCAGCGAGTCCACTCGAAAGGGATGGCCGTTAATCGTGCTCCATGGTCGCATAAAATCAACTAATTTGCAATCAACGCGTATCAGAGCTTGGCCTTCTCTCATCGAGGAACATATCGCCTGAATGAAATTTATTCGTTGATCGAATTGCAAAAGGCGAGGGTATCGCCGTTTCTGTAGTGGCCGCGTCTTGTTTCGTTTCACGTCCACCCCCTTTCATCCCTCGTTTCGAGCTTCTTTTTATTGGCAAAGTGACCTTCATCTGAATCTCTTTGTCGCGCCTACGCCGGAGGAGATGGAGCGAGAGAATTTCGGGAGCTGGTCAGGGGTGGCGTGGCGAAAATGGCATACCTTTTACTTTTACCTTCGACCGGCCTTCACCGTGCCATGAGAACGCTTTTCGTTGATGCATGGTTTACCAGGAGGTTGCTTTCGCGCTTCACTACCCACCTACGGAGCTCGTGGCTTCTTACGAGATAACGACCGTGCTTTTACCTTGAGAAGAAGATTTGATTGATGATCAGGACACCGATGAGGGAAACTCGTCAAGCTTCGGCAAGCTTCTCATAGGAATCTTCTCTCTGACGGTATTTATCATCTCTTACGAAACTTATGAATGGTGTGATGTTTTATGAGTCTTTATATCACATTATGCGAGATACGAATGATTGATCGAATTTTACGACCGTTCTTTATCTCAATAGAAATATCGAGAAATCTGTGTCCTTTATGCTGATGAGGTTTCTTAGTTTCTTTTTTTATCTCCGTAACACGCAGGATGGAGATAATGGGAAAAAAGTAAAAGGGAGGGGAGGAACGAGAGTTAACAAGCGTTCGCTCGGGTTACACTTTATTGCGTGATGTTTCCAGCGACCATTCAGTTCGATCGGTTGTCTGTTCGACGAGGAGAGGAACGCGGAAGGGAACGATTGTAAAACTCTATGCTGGTGAAAGTCACGACGATTGTAGATAATCAGAAGCGACAGGTTAGACAACTTGGTAATTATAGGAGCGGGTTTATCATTTTGATGCGTTTTGTGGATCGCTGAAAAGAATGTGCGATGCATTGGTTACGTATGCTCGTTTATTCCAACCACATTACATCATGCAATTAAACATGTTTCTTCATACGAATGTGTTATTAGTAAATCGGTCACACACCTTGCTTTCACAAATACGTTATATATACACTCTCAAACCTTAATTACAGTTCTTGATCAATCGAAAACATTCGTTCTAATAAAATATAAGGTAAAGTAGTTTAATATCTAGTCGTTCTAATATCTACGTAATCTACGTAAATCTACGTATCTAAGATGTTATTGGTTCTTGCAACGATGCCGAGGTTCGCGTCATTAATAATCGCTACTCTCGGCGAGGAGCAAAGATAGATTCGTCGATATCGGACGATGGAGGTTACTCTTGAATATCGCACGGTATTTATAAAATTATATTCTTGAAAACGCGAAACCTCGCGATATCTAAATTTAGGTTTAAAATTCTGCTGTTAATCTATATGCTTACAGGAAAAAATACTTTATTACGATCAAGCTTTATACGACAACCGAAATTCATGATCCTTTAAAGCTCAGTTACGTCCTCCTATATTGCTATCCTCGTTACATACATTTGCAAGAAAACAGTTCGTCATAACGATCGAGTAAAATATGTTCTCCGAATTCAAAGTATCTTACGGTTCGAAATTATGGCACGTTTCTCTACATTCGTGTCTTTATCATCCCCATTCGCAAAGAAAGAACTTTCTATGATAATAATAACAATAATCAAATAATCTAGATCTCTCAGACCTAAAACTCGATCATCTCTACACTATTTCTACACTATATTTACAAATTTAAGAACAAACTAATTCCGATAATCTATAATAACAATCGAATAATCTAAATTGCTATTTTTCTTTTTAAAAAAGCTTCTCTATAATAATCGAGTATAGAAAATATTCTCTCCACCGATCGAATAATCTACGTTATTACCAACTCGTCTCAAATCCCGAGTATAACGGCGTATCCTCCCCAACCCCCGTTGCAATCGAACCGCTTTTCCGATAACGAAAGCCTGCGTACGCTTGATTTCGCGATCGTCGTTTCTAATTCGCGTGCACAGACGTCCATTATCCGCGGCGGAGATTCTCTGCGGTGCCCCGTGGAAAGCTGGAAATAAAGAAAAAGAGAGAGGATGCTACGTCTGGCAGGTGGAGGGATGAAACCGACGAAAAGGGACAGTGGTTGAGCATCGGGCCTGAATAATGGAGGAAACTGCTGGAGTGTTGGACGGGTCTGTAGAGTGAGGACGCGTTTCCTTTAACAGGGTATACGTATAACCGGGGTAGAGGAAAATCGAGCTCTCGGTAGCCGCGTTGGTAGAAGGTGGAAGCACAGAGCATCGGCGGTTGG